GCTTGAACTGCATAGGGAGACCCTGTCTTAAAAACACACCAAAAAAAAACAAAACAGCAATGAAAAACAAATAATGGAAATCTAAAAAAGAGCCTGAGGAACTATTATGACCAAGCAGAGAGATTAGCATGTGCAAAGACTCTAGGACAGGAAAAACAGGGCCCCATGAAGTCTGAAAACATAGCCTCATGGTGTCTTTTTTTTTTCCCCAAGTACCAGGAATCGAATTCAGGGCCTTGTACTTGCCAGGCAGGTTTTGTGGTCATGGTGTTTTGTCTTTAAATAATTTGTATTGTGTCCACCTCCCTCTTTGCATACTAAGGCAACCCAGCCTGCCTGACATTTCCTTCCTGTTGTAGTGTGGACTTGTCGTCCTCTATTGGTAATGATCTCTTCATTTTGTTTTTGTGGTACTGAGTACTGAATAGAGGACCTTCAAACTGAGCTACATCCCCAGGGTCCTCCCTCCCTTTCTTATTTTGAGACAAGAGTCTCGCTAGGTTGCCCAGAAGGATCAGAAGTTTGAGTCTTGCCTGGGGAATTTAGCAAAACTATCTTAAAATTTAAACAAGACAGCTGGGTGTGGTGATGCATGCCTGTAATTCTAACACTCCAGCAGAGGCTGGAGCAGGAGAATTGCTGAGATAGAGGCCAGCCTGGGGTACAATGTGAGCTTAAGGCCACGCTGAACTGCACAGCAAGACCCTGTCTCAAAACAAAACAACCAACTAAACAAATCTTTTTCTGCTTTCTGACTTTAAAAACTATCACATTCACATCATATGACTTACTAACAATAGTAACTACAGTGATGTGTAGTTCCTGAACATTACAGAACACTATTTTAACTAGACAGTGACTTTGGCAGAGGCAGCACTGGACACTTGACTGCACACCCTGATCATTTGATTCAGCCAGGTGTGTCTGGGTCTTCATTTCTGCTATGTGAACAGTGCCATTCTGAGCACTAGGGGTACAGTGCTAAACAAGACACAGGAAGTTCCTGCACTCATGGAGAGAACTAGCTGGGAATGGTTGTACACATCTGTAATCCCAGAACTCAGGTGGAGTCTGAGGCAGAAGGATGCCAAATTTTAGGTCAGCCTGATCTACATTGTGCAACCTGAACTACACAGTAACACTCTGTCTCAAAAAAAAAAAAAAGGCTGGTCCGATGGCAGTGTGTTATCAGAACTTATTAACATTAGTGTCACTAAAGTTGGTATACCACCCCCGCCACACACTGCTAAATTTGACTGGCTTTAAAAAAAAAAAGTAGAATTACTTATATATAGTTATTTCCATAGTCAATTCCACTTGTGAGCCCTGGAAAAGAGTGATGATTACTGGCAGAGAGGAGGAAGTCAGAGGTCTGAGAAATGAAAATGAAGCTTTGATCTGGTGGCTAAGAAAGAAGAAATAAGGCAAAAGAGAAGAGTGGGTAGACAAAAATGTTCTAGATAGAGAACACCCAGGTACAGTGGCGCACACCTGTGATCCCAGCTAGTTAGGAGGCTGAGGCAGAAGGATTACAAATTTGAGGCCAGTATGAATAACTTAACAAGATTCTGTATCAAAATTTAAAAAAATAAAAAGAGATGAGGATGTAGCCCAGTGGTACAATGCTTGCCAAGCATGTGCCCAACCCTGCACTGAAGAAATCTCTTCCAAGATACACATTTAGTTGATTCTGTTTCTCTGGAGAATCATCAGGAAACACACAGTTCTGTATGAAACAATCTTCCTCCTCCCTGTCCAATCACAACCTCCCAACCCCAACACCAGGGCCCCCTGCTCATATCTATCAGCAAAGCTGGAATAGCCTTCCAAAAATAAAAAAGAAATTAGAAAAGTAAAACAATCTCATGGGATGTCACCCCCTACTGAAAACATTTCAAGGCTCACCTTCTACCTCCTGAAGACCCAGTCCTGTCTTCACTAACCATACCAAGTTTTCAGTCCCTCCACCCACAAAGCAGACAGTCACGAATGTCAGGGAAAAGCAGACCCACTCAGCTCTGGGTCTGACTGATCAGCGACCCTCACTTCCCTGGCAGTGAAGGATTCAAAAATGCAGAAGTGGGGGAAGTTTACTTGCTTCTAGAAGAGACAACCTCAGAAGGCCATTCTCCACCCCCACCACCCCAGACACCAAGGAGGAAGTGCAGATAGCCCTGACAGCTTCGGGCAGCCAACTGGTGATAAGCAACCCCAGGCTGCTGCTGGGGCTGGGACAGAAGAGGGGAGAGATGACAGACTCTGGGGTCTCACTGATGTCTCTAAATCAACTGGCCCTGGAGCCTGTCCTGTGGCCAATAAACCTAGTTTAAGCAGGTGAGAATGTAGACTTTACCTTTGTCATACAGTATCCTCATTTCTCTATTGGCAGAGAAAGTGCACTTGGACCCTGTGTATACCTGGTTTCTCAACAGCCATTTTTGCCTTTTCCCCAACTCTTGGTTCCAGCCATCCTTAACTTTGTGAAACTCTTCTTGGAAAACCCTTCTAACCTGCTGCCCAGGAAACTCCTACCCATCAATCAGAACCTAGTTCAAAGGTGACTTTATAGACTAAGTTTTATAAAGGGTCTGAAAACCAGTTTTCTCCACTGCCCTATAATTCCAGCTACTCAAGAGGCTGGGACATGATGGGGATGGTAGAACATGCCTGTAATGCTAGCAATTGAGGAGGCTAAGGCAGGAGGGATTGCTCAGAGTTTGACTGGCCTGGGTTATGCAGTGAGTTCAAGGTTGGCCTGAACTACATAGTGAGACCCTGTTTCAAAAAAAAAAAAAAAAAGACTACAGCAGGAAGACTATAAATCTGATCCCCAGCTGGGAAAGTTAGTGAGACTATCTCAAAATTAAAAAAAAAAAAAAATACAAAGAGCTGGACGTGTAGCTCAGTGTGAGGCCAAAATCAATTCTCAATACTGAAAAAAAGTTTTCTCCTCTAGACCCTTCTATCACCTTTTTCATAAAATCTCTTCTTGGCTGACTGTGGTGGCACACGTCTGTAATCCCAGCACTCAGGAGGCTGAGGCAGAAGAACTGTTGCAAGTTTGAGACCAGCCTGGGCTACAAAGTGAGCTTAAGGCCAACCTGAACTGCATGGCAAGATCCTGTCTCAAGACAAACACACACACACACACAAACTTTTTTCTCAGAAATTGTTATACTGGTCCCTGAGAATGGGAAAAAAATTGTCATGAGACAAAAATATATCCATATTGAAACATTCATCTTTCCAACCTTTCCATCAAATCTTTGACAAAGGTAGTGTCCCCAAAGCTGAATGCAATGCAAAACTTATAGGCAATGAGCCAGACATGGGAATCCAGGCCAGTAATCATACCACTCTGGAGGGCTGAGACAGGAGGATAGCAAGTTTGAGCTGATTTTTGGCAATTTAGCAAGACTTTGTTTCAAAATATATTTTTTAAAAAAATTTAAAGAGTCAGGTATATAGCTCACTGCAAAGTCCCTGGGTTCAACCCACACTACTTTAAATAAATAAAGATAGGCAATGGACCAGACAGTTAACTACAATAGTAAATTTTAGAAAAGGGAGAATTTGGGCTGGGGATTTAGCTCAGCAGCATAAGCACCTACCTTGCAAGCGCACAGTCGTGAGTTCCATCCCTGTACCACAAAAAAAAAAAGGGGGGGGAGAATTCCTAAAGTAGGTAAAAGTCTTCCTGGGAAACTGGAATCCGGCAGATGGACCAGTTAATGACTGCCACTGTTATAACCTAAGGCCCCCTAACTATCACGCCATAAAGTCTGTTCTGTATAAGCTCCACCTGCTGCTTCCCCTCCCCTTCTCCCTTCACATCTAACTAGGTTAAGTTTTAACTTCCCAAAAGGCCACAAAACAAAGGCCTGAGGTAATAGCTTCTGACAACCCCCTTTCCTACACGGTAGCCCGTCACAAATTGTGTTAATTGCATTAGATTGTACTATTCTTCACAAAAATAGCTTCGTTTGTATCATAGCAATACCTGTAACTTGGCCTTACTGTATATGTTTTCCTTTTCCCTCTGAGTAAAGGATTGATATGTTAATCAATGCTCTCCTCTGTAAAGAATTGTAAAATCTTACCTAATTGATATGTTAGCCATTGCTGCCCTCTACAAATAACAGTTGTGGCGCTAAAGTAAGGTAACTAAGGTTGTTAATTGCTGTTAAGACTTCTCTATTCTTTGCTAAGAAAAACAAGATTTCTTCTTATCTAAACTTGCTTGTATGCTGGAAGACTTGCTTGTTAGCACAACCCTTACCTGATCTTGCCCTTCCCAAGAGGTGTAATTGTGTAATTGCAGTTTCTGTAGTGCACCACACCCCCATCCTCCTCCTAACATTGTGTGACCAGCAGCTGTTTGTGGATTTACAAGATAAAAGCCCTGACTTTTAGCTGTCAGGTATGTAGTCTCCAAATTGGCTCCTGGAGACTTGTCACCAGGCCTGGAAATAAAGCCTTTGCTTCCCAAATTTTAATTTCTTGCTTCCTTGGATTTTATACCGGGGTCCGAGTTATCACACCACTTACAAAGACATGGATCTGACAAGGAAGCCCTCATTTTTTTTTTTTTTATAACTAAGAGCACATTTCCTATTGCCTTAATTTTGTATTTTTGAAGTGAAAGGATTTTGGCCCAGACAGGACACTGTAGCCGGTAAAGCCTCAGGGGAAACCAAGGAGCTCCATCTTCCCCACCCCTAGGAATTTACCTCTGGCACCAAAGGAACACAGTTGACTACCTCTGCATCCCTAATGCCCCCTCAGGCTCCACCCCAAACCTAAGCTACATGTATGCCCCCACTCCACGTGTCCCACGGAGAGATCCTGTACCATGGAAAGATCAACGACCCCCCAGGGGGCGGGGGATGCTGGACCCCAGGGGCTGGGGGTCTCCCCCCCCCATTCTTAAAACAAAAGGTCATTGATACTAAGAAAACATGCCTCAGGAAGGAACTGCACTCACTGACAACAGGTGGGGCCCCTGGAGCCATGGTTATATTATTCTGTCCCACTGACCACAGCTGACTCTAGCTCAGCTAACCAGATTCTCTTGAGTTAGGGTGCAGAATGCAGACTATTCAATTCATGGCACAAAAGAAAAAGGATTCAGTTGTAAGGCTGGGGCTGCTTTTGGCCAAGTACAAATATACAGAGAAAGCCAGTGAGAGGATGAGGGAAGGAGACAAGAGACACAAATGTCAGAGACCACACAGGTACAGGTACAGAAGGATGAGAAGTGCCTTGTATTTCTAGGCACAGTCCCATTTTTCATGAGGAAGTATTGTCCTCTGGATCTGTTGAGTCCCCCATGCTAGGGTTGAACCAGCAGTCCTCTTGCTTAGCCTCCTTGGGTGCTGGGATTATAGGCCTGCCATTATGCCCATTTTTTGCTTCAGACAGGATCTCACTTGAACTTGCTCTTACTCCATTTGCTGTCTTCCTGCGTCAGCCTCCATAATACTGGGTTTACATATGTGTGCCACTACATCTGGCTACAAGCTTTGATGGCCCTTAGCAGTGAAGAATTGGGCTTGAACTCACTATCATAAACCTGAGTTTATTTATTTATTTATTTATTTTTTTGTCTTTTTCGTTTTTACCGGTACCAGGGATCGAACTCACGACTGCCTGCTTTCAAGGCAGGTGCTTATGCCACTGAGCTAAATCCCCAGCCCCTAAACCTGAGTTTAAAAGTTGGCCTTGCCTCCTACTGTAGTATTCTGTCACTTAACTTTTCAGGGTTTCAGTTTTCTTATATATAACCCAGAAAAGGAGAAGAAAAAGGAGGACATAAAGAAGGTGGCGAAGATCACCACCATGTTGCTCAGGAGGTTGCAAGGTTCAATGAGATACTAGGCTAAAGCATTTCCAGCATCATCTAAAACTAAGTGCTTATATCAAGGATGATATAAACCCACAACTGTTATTATCCTGTGTCCTCCTTCTTCAGTAATTACCTCCTTTCTGCCATTATGCTTTCCTCTGGCAAAAGATCCCGAGTTTTCCTTGGGAACTTTTCCTCTACCGGATATAATCCTGGTGGGACTATATATTCCTGGCTAAGGAAATGCAACATGGCCTCAAGTCAGCCAACTAGTTGGATTCAGAATCTCAATCTTTTGCTCAGTCATCCAAAACTGAAGGGGAAAAAAAAAAAAAAAAACACAGAGAGAGAAAAAACAGCAACAGCTTGGTTAATTTGTTCCCACTGCAGAACTCAGACAGGACTGTCGCTAGTTCAATGATGCCTGGTTCCTATCTTTTCCAAGATCTGGTTCTTTGGCTTTTGCATGGATTCTCTGACTCTCAGAATCTCCAATAAATATCAGTTAGCCAGAGCTAATTTCCACTACCAGCTTAAAGTACTTACATGGTACACTTTTTAGAACTCTATGAGACTCAACAAACTCTAATTTCTGCCCCCAGCCCCTAGGCAAGGAGACAATGGGAGTTAACTATTACCAGGAAATAAGTGCCACCACCCCCAAGTGGCTTTAAATAATAAGCATTTGGGACCTCACAGCTGTATGTGTGAAATTCCAGAGCAGTACTGCTGAATTCTGGCTCTGGGTATCCCATAAAGGCTGTGGTCAACAAGTCAAGAACCCAGCCTGGGCAATTTAGCAAGGTCCTGTCTCAAAATAGAAAAATGCTGGGGATGTGGCTCAGTACAAAGGCCTTGGGTTCAGTCCCCAGGATTGTTAAAAAAAAAAAAAAAAGTTGGCCAGGAGCGCAGTCATCTCAGTAGCTGGCTGGAGCTGCAGATCTTGCAGCACAGCTCACTTAAGAGCTCTCAAGAGGATCCCGCCACTGTGCTACATGAGTGGCTTTATGACCTAGAAGCAGGATTGCCCCAAAGTAAGGTACTCAAGAAAAAAAAAGATGATGATATACACTGTTAATTTTAGCACTTGGGAAGCTGAGGAGGTAGGATCACAAGTTCAAGGCCAGCTAAGACTACACAGGAAGAGTTCAAAATCAGATTGGATTATTATTATTATTATGTCTTTTTGAGACAGGGTCTCTCTATGCGGTTCAGGCTGGCCTTGAGCTCACTTTGTAGCGTAGGCTGGTCTCAAGCTCGCAACGATCCTCCTGCCTCAGCCTCCTGAGTGCTGGGATTACAAGCGTGAGCCACCATGCCCGGCTCAGACTGGATTATTTAACAAGATCCTGTTTCAGAAAAAGAAAAAAAAAAACAATATAGAGGCTATAATGGATTTTATGACATAGCTGCACAAGTCAAGCTCTATTTTATTTATTTATTAAAGTTTTTTTTCTTTTCTTTTTTTTTGTCTTTTTGAGACAGGGTTTCACCATGCAGTTCAGGCTGGCCTGGAATTTACTTTGTAGTCCAGGCTGGTCCCAAACTCATAATGACCCTCCTGCCTCAGCTTCCTGAGTGTTAGGATTACAGGCATGAGTCACCGTGCCCGGTCTAGGAATAGTCACTGGAAGCCACTGTAAGGGTCTACTTCCTCCTCCCTTAATTGCCCTCTGTTTCTAGCTGCCATGGCATGAGTTCTTTCTTCTCTGCCACACTGCCCTGCCTTGGAGCCAGGTGACTATAGACTAACATCTCTAAAAACTGTGAGCTAAACTAAACCTCTCCTCCTTAGACTTGTGGGTAATGGGGCCTGTGTCTCAGAGACAAGGAAGTAACTAGGAAGACAGCTGAGCTGAGTTTCCTTGGCCAAGTGATGAGGACAGGTCTGCTGTGGAGCCATAAATACAGTGTGCACTCAGAGGTTCTGTTTCCACTCTTGGTTCCTTATTCCTTTCCTTCTTTTATGAGCCGCAGGCTGCCACCGCCTCTCCTCCAAAGGCAGCTTCCAAGTTCTTAAGTTCCTGGGGCCATCTCCACTGCCCTCCACATCTTCTTCCTAGCTGGAAAGCACCTTCTGGATTCGTTCCCATACTTCCTTTGGTCCCAAGGACACCATCATTTCAGCTACAGGAGGTCCTTGCTAAGAACAGAAAGGGAAAATGTCATCTTATTGTCTTATACTGCTTACAGAATTTACACAGTCTCAGTCTGCAGAAGTTGCCCCTGGGCCAGCCCCAACCCACGCAGCCTGCACGCCAGGGAGCAGAGTTTGCATTATATTTATTGATTTTTTTCACTTTATTATTGATTTTACTTATTTTGTTTTGTTTGAGACAGAATCTACAGGCTGGCTTTGAACTTAAAACTCACAGCATTCTTTCTACCTCAGTCTCTTGAGTGCTGGAATTACAGGGGTGTGCCCCATGCCCAGCAAAGAGTTTACATTGTATTAGTGTTTGATTTTCCTAGACAAAGATGGTCCTAGAACCTGTTTTTCCTTTTCCTTTTGAGATAGGGTTTCACTATGGAGTTCTGGCTGACTTTGAACTCATTTTGTAGCCCAGGCTGGTTTCAAACTCCCAGTGATCCTCCTGCCTCAGTCTCCTAAGTGCTGAGATTATAGGCATGCACCACCAAGTCAGGCTGTTTTTCCATCTTAAGCAAAATCTGTTATCTTCAATAACCTGAAAGCCTAGGAGGTAGAGATTATATGGGTTCTGTTGATTATTGCATCCTCTGCACTTCTACTGGTACATAGTATGTACTCAAGCAATAGGGTCTGTTAAGTGACTCAAATGCAGGGACTGTTTCAGTCATCTTCGTATTCCCAAAACCTCTGAGGTGAGCTTGGTACCCGCCAGAAAAAGTTAGGTGAAAGAATAAATGAGAAGTTTGAGGAACAGGCCCGTCCACTGCCCCGCCTCACCAGCTGTCCACTGAGGGCCACTCGGAGCAGTTTCATCACAGTGCTGTGCTTGGTGCCTTCCAGCCCTTCTGATAGCTTCTTTAGTTCTCCATTCAGCATGTCTTGGGTTAAACTATCAGATCTTTCTAAAAGCCTAGAAAATGGGCAGCTTGTAAGGGGGCTGCACAGCCAATGGCAAGAGGGTGGGAGGGAAAATTACACAAAATTATTGATCAACTACAATATAAACCTGGTTTTGAGGGGTAGAGGAGAGATAGCTACCATTCAAGTTGGAAAAAGACAAAACAATGAAGGGACCAGATATGTTGCTAATCTAAGCAAGCAGGCATAATGTAGGGAATTTAAGAGAGCACCATAATAAGAGGCCTTACTAATTGCTATTTCTGGGTCATATAATCACTATGTCTCAATGTTCTTACCTATAAAGTGGGGATAATAATAGTGTTGAATTACACAAAGTTATGCCAGAGTTAGAATTTGTGAAGTGCTAAGTACAGTACCTAAATACACAGTCAATATTTGGAAATATTAATTTTATATTTCAATATATAAGTTTAAAAATTAACTAATAATTTATTACATGCAATAGCTCAAAGACACTGCAACAGGATCTAAAAAGAAATCTAGAAGGGCTTAGACAGAAAGTGGAATGGGTAATTTCTAGGACATTATCTGAAACATAGCTTTAAGAATGGAATACTGAACTAGGTATGATGGTGCACTCCTGTAATCCCAGCACTCAAGAGGCTGAGGCAGGAGGATTGTTGTGAATTCAAGACTAGCTTGGGCTACAAAGTGAGCCCAAGGCCAGCCTGAACTGCATAGTGAGACCTTGCCTCAAAAAGACCAAAAAAAAAAAAAAGGAGGTTGATCAGAGAATACTGGGTGTACTGGCACATGCCTGCAATCCCAGCACCTAAAAGGCTGAGGCAGAAAGATCACCACAAACTCAAGTGCAGCCTACACTATACAGTCAAGACCCTAAACTAAACCAAACCAACCAATCAACCAACCAAACAAAAATAAACCCAAATGAGTCAGAGGAGACTTCTTTGGGAATGTAGCACCAAACAGCAGAATGAAAGTAATCAGGAGACCCTGGTTTTAGGAACAGCCCTCCCACTAACCTGGTATAAACCTTTCTTTTTCCAAAACTTAAAGCACTTTAAAATCTAAAACTCCAATAGTTTTAGGTTGGTGCTACAGAGGGCATCAACCACCTCTGTAGCTGAGATTCACTCCCAAAAGCATGTTTTTGTTTCAAGAAAACGTCCCCATTCAGGTAGGGCTGAACTTCATAAACCATCTGAGTTATAGCGGGAGATGGGATTAGGGTGAAGTGAATATATTTCACAGCAAATTCCCAGTTCCCCTAAGATTTTATTGGAGATTTCAATTGCAAATGCTTAAGAGTGACAGAAGCTAGAGGTCTTCATTGCTGTGGATGATCCACAATGTTAATTCTGATACTTCCTGCTCCAGTGGGGTCCACATAACCAAAGGTCAGTTATATGTGAGAACTGGCTCAGGCAACCAGGTTCCTAAGTGACTTGTAGAACCTTTTAGTGCACACAGATCTCTTCACTTATGGCCAGAAATTCAGCAACTTAGCTTCAATTTATGATAAAAGTAACTGGGCATAGAGGCTCATGCCAGTAATCCCAGTATTTGGGAGGTTGCAGCAGGAGGATTGCTGTGAGTTTGAGGCCAGCCTGGGCTACATAGTGAGTTCAAAGTCAACCTGAACTACATAGTGAGATCCTGTCTAAAAAAAAAAAAAAAAGATAACAGTGACTTTTTTTTTTTTTGGTGCTGGGATAGAACTCACGACTGTGCAATTGCTGGGCAGGTGCTTATGCCACTGAGCTAAATCCCCAGCCCAACAGTAACCACTCTTACTGTGTCACTGCTGTGATCCATAAATGTTTGTGTCATACACAATTAGATGTTAAAATCCTAATCCTCAAAGTGATGGTTTTGGAAGGTGGGTATTGGTGGGAGAAAAATGGGATTAGTGCTCACATAAGAAAGACTCCAAAGAGAAACCTAGTCCTTTTTGCCATGTGAGGACACCAAAGGAAAAAGGCCCCAAAAGTGTGCCGTTGCAGATATTCAACTGGCTGACACTCTGATGTTGGATTTCCAGTCTCCAGAGCTAGGAGAAATAACTGCTATGTAAGCCACCCACTTTACTGTATTTTGTTATACCAGCTCCACTAGATAAAGACAATCATTAACAGGCTTCATGATCATTGGTACTTATGATATCAAGGGGACAAAATACTAAAAATACACTGCTGGAAAGCAGGCCACTAAGGAACCAATGAAAGAATAACAAGCCCCAGGCAGCCACTAATCGCAGCTCAGGGCATGTTAGGGCTGGCCCAGAGCTTGGCATGGGCACAAAAGTGACTTGTAGTGATCTGGCAGCTTCTGAACATTTAGGTGCTGGCGTTTCTCACTTATGGAAGTCCCAGTGTTTCTGAAATCTAATCTATGGCAGGGATGAGAAGTTAAGACATTGAGTCTTGGTGAATTAGAACTCATGGCCCCTACTGTGGCATGTCCTAAATTAAGAGTATTACTACTAGTAATAGCTTTTGGGAATTCATCCTAGAGATGCACTTGCCAATATGCTTTAATGTCTATGCCAAGTTATTCAGTGTAGCATCATTTGTAATAGCAATGTTTAGAAGAAACACAACTATTCAGCAATAAGAGATGAGTTAATTTATGGCAAAGTTGTATAATGAAGTAAATTTAGCTAGAGAAAAGAATGAAGACACTAAGTATTGGACAAATCATGCCTCAATTCCTAGCTATTTAAGAGGCTGAGGGACCCTAGTTGGGAGCCAAGCTCGGCAACACAGTGAGAGATTCTCTTTAAAAAAATAAAAAATAAAGAAGAATGTATTATTATATTGTTAACTGGAAAAGTAGCCAAAGAAACAGAATGCTATTACCGAAGTGTACCTTTTGCGTTAAAAAAAAAAGGAAGAATTATTTAGATATAATAAAGAATATTAGTTGCGAAACTGGAAAATAGATGAAAAGATTATAAAAAGAGGACTTCCAATATATACTTCAATTCCACAATGCCTGAATTTTAATCAAAGTCTAAAAGGTTTGAATTATTGTTAATAAACATATATTTAAAACTGAAAATTATAAGACTAAATCTACACATACATCCCCTTAACTATGCAGACATTTCACACAGGGAACTGTTAAGTGTTGCTTCTCTGGAGCAGGCTGGAGAAGGAAGGAGGATTCATTTTTTCCTATAAACACTCTTACCCCATTTGGATTTTTTTTGCTACATGCAGGTGTTTTATCTTTTCAAAATACTTATTATAATATATTGGAGGCCTTTAGATATAGGCAAGCCCATCCACTTTATGCACGAGAAAAGCAACAGGTAATAGTTAGACATGTAACTGTTGGACCCAGCCTGCCTGGGTTTAAAACTCTGTTCCTCCAAGTTCTTAGTTGTATGACTCTGGACAAGTGACTCAACCTTTCTATCACTTGATTTTTTATCTGTAAAAATGGGGGAAATGACAGTACTTTCTTGATTAGGTTGCAATGAATTTAAGTACACATATACATAATTTATGTGTGTAGGTGTATATATTTTGTTGTTGTTGTTTGAGAAAGGGTCTCCCTATATAGTTCAGGCTGGCCTTGAACCCTGTGTAGCTTGAGTTGGCTTCAGCCTCCAAAGTGCTGGGATTACAGGCATGTGTCTCCAGGGCTGGTTCTGGTTTTCTTAGATAGTACTAACATTTTTTTTTTGTCTTTTTCCTTTTTATCGGTACCGGGGATTGAATTCATGACTGCCTGCTTGCAAGGCAGGCACTTATGCCGCTGAGCTAAATCTCCAGCCCCCAGTATTAGAACATTTAACTAGGCACATGGCTGGCAAATTTTAAAAATACAATTTCCAGATACCAGGCAGCTTGGTGTGACCATAAAAACATAGTTCTAGCCAGCAGAATATGGGTAGAAATGGTATGTGCAGTTTTAAAGTAAGGTCATGAGAAAAAGTGTCCCGTCCTGTCTTTCTCTAGTTGAATTGAGGCCTGTCCATGAGCCACTGCAGACCATACAGACAAGAGGAAAATACAGGGATGCAGGGCCTGTAAAACAAGGGGAAAAGCTGTTCATTCTCAGACTGCCTCCTGTAGGCTGTTACACAGGGGACAATGTACTTGTGTTTCTTCTGTCTGACAGAATCCTGACAAATATCTGCTGAATACAGAGCTTTTGCAAGAAAACAAAACAAAACGGCCACCGCTGAGGAGAGGGGAAAGTCATAGGCAGAGAAGTGGGTCTTGGTAACACAGTGTGAGCCTTACACTGAACTGGTCTTTAACTGGGCACTTCTAGCCTTTGTAATTATATAAGTAATTATTCCCGTTTCTTAAGCCAGCTATGGCTACATTTTCTACCAATGTAATCAAAAGAATTCTGCTGTTATTACAGGAAGAACTAGTATGATCACTACATTATAGATAGATAAGGCAATGGGAGCTCAGGGAGATTTTACTTGTAAAGTCACCTAGGCAAGAAGAAACGACACAGTGAGCAAGTGGCAGAGTTAGGATGTGACTCAGGTTGGGGCATGCTGCTGAACCCACTATTTATATCCAAGGAGAGCCAGAGTCCTCTGGTTTGTCTTCTACACATAAGAAAACAAGCAAAGGAACATTTTATCAGTGGCCATGGGATTGTGGGGGAGTCCAACAGCTAAGAAGTGGAGGAAGGAGCTACCGGAAGGAGCAAGAGAGGAAGGATGTGGAGGCACTCACCCCAACACGTGCTTCAAGATCTCATCCACCTTCTTTGAGATGGTGCTTAGCTGTGTTCTGCTCACAGCAGGGCGAGTCCACAAGTAAGAATATACTGGGGAAATCAAATCCTGCAGGCGGCAGATATGACCCTAGGGAAGGAGGCAGTCAATGCATGTACTGATGACAGGGCTCTATAAACGCTGTATAAAGGAGAAGGAATGGCTCAGTTTCCTAAAGGTCCCTGGCTCCCTACCTGTCGTAGCAAGATGATCCTCTCCACATACACTGGATCAAGGACATTCCTGTCTTGCAGCTGGGCCCCAAATGCCTCCTCCACCAGGGTCTGCAGCTTTCCCACAAGATGGTACCTCTGGGTCTCATTGCTCACCAGTCGACGGAGGTGCAGCCTGTGGCAAAAGTCAAGAGAGCAACCTGCTGCTGGTTCCTCCAGCCCACTTATACCCCCTCTCCCCAAGGGAAGGGACAAATCACCTAAGTCACCTCCACCCCCATTGCAAAGCAGGAATTTCTTTACATTCATAAAATGAAAGGGATATCACTAAGACTATAAACCGCCTGAGAGTCAAGAAACCTGGAGACATACTCTGTTTTCAGTGTTTTTAAAACAGTGGCTGACTTTCCTTTTTTTTGTTTTTTGTTTTTAATAGTCCTGGGAACTAAATTCAGGGGTACCCTACCACTGAGCTACCCATTCAACCTTTTATTTTTCAAGACAGGTTCTAACTTACTCTGGTGGAACTTGAATTTGTCATCCTCTTGCCTCAACTTTCCAAATAGCTGAGATTATAGGCATGTTCTACCATGCCTGGATTTTTTTTCCTGTAATTTTTAATTTTGCAGCACTGGGGATAGGACATAGGGCCTTGTGCAGGCCGGGCACTCTTACCATTGAGCAACACCTAACCTAGCCCAGTAGCCAGTATTTTAAACTAGGAAGACATCACATGAAAAGGGTTTTAGCTTCTCCTGGGAAATGACATCTGGCTCCAAAGGGCTCTCATGCTTCACAGTTAACAGGTTAGAACAAGGTGGAAGCCCAGCTCACCTATCCCTTTGCTGTCTGGTCTTTTACCTACCATGCTCCCTCCTCTGTGGTATCTGCCTGGCCTCTAAAAGGTACCTAAGTTTACAAAGCAGAATCTGGAGGAGTCTGTCTCCTAGTCTTTCTTAAATTAAGGAGTTTGGCACAAAAGGAAAGGATTTGGAGTTTGTTTGAATTAGGGGCTCACAGTTGAAAAATTTGGATTTTGTCAGTGTAAATTTTCTTCAAGTGTCCATCAACTGAGGAATGGATAAAAAGTTGTGGTATTTTTATACAATGGAGTACTACTCAGCTATAAAGAATGATCACATTGAGATATTTATAAATAAATAGACGCAGCTTGAGACCATACTCGTAAGTGAAGTAAAGCAAACTCACATGTATAAATACCGAATAGTTTCCCTAGTGTAAATGATAATACATAAAATTATATGGTAAACATGATTCCCAATCATATTGGTTTTAATCCATATTATCACTCATTTAGTCCATGTTATCACTCATTAATTGCAATGGTTTTAACCTGGGTTGTTTGATTTTAGTATCGGTAATAGTACGGATAGTTATTCTGAAGAAAACACGTCATAAAAGCTAGTGCTGATTTAATATCATCTTGTTTTGAAGTCCCATCAAGCTGTTGTACATCTGTTTCCACTGGTTTTAACATGTGGTATCTTACTATATTTTACTATATGAGATAGTATAAACAAAATTTTTTATATGCAAAGAGATATATAGAAACCATTGTTCATTTTCTGTTAACTGGTTCTAAATACCCTGTAATTTCTTCATTCTCCTGAATAGCTTCAGACTGACTTGATATACTTGATGCTATAGTATATGAAGTTATACTCAAATAATTCAAGGAAGGAGGCACTATGGTGACTACTATTATGTTAGATTATCTGGGGATGAAACACAATGATGCTTAAATAGTTCGGTTCTGACCTGTGTTGTTCTAATACAATGTTCTCTTTTACCTCAATCCCATCCTTTTTTAAAAATTAATCTATTTTTTCTTACATTTTTTTTTTCAATTGAGGGAAAACTAAATTAAAAAATAGTGGGACATATTATAGTAACTTGTTTTCCTATTAACCTGATTTGAACCCCAGTATTGCTCTCCCCATCTTGTTCTGTCTGATTATTTTATATTGTTTTGTTTGATAGTATCAAGTTTGAGGGTATAGGCAACCACTTGGAAGGCAATAAGATATACTATGACGCCCATTATGGTTTGACTGTTATTTCTTTTTGAAGTCCTGTCAGGTCTCCAGTGTAGGTCTTGTTCTGTACTGTTTTGATCAATCTATTATACCTGATGATATAGGCAACTTTTAAAAAAAAATAGCAAGAGGCACAATGGTAATCATTTTAGATCACCTGATACCCTATTTTTACATCATGTACTATGCCCATCCTTTCGTTCTAACTGACTGTTTTGTTTAGCCACGTTAGGTTTTATTCTCTCCAAAAAATAATAAGAATTGTGGGAGTAAAAAAACCCAAAAAGTGTAACTGTTATTAAAAAGAGAGGAAAGGAAGATGGCCTAAGGGATATAACTGCATGTACGTTTGTGTGTGTAGGATGGAAATCCATATTACTGAACTTTTGTGGGATCATTGATCGGCATTGTGTGCAATCTCATTGTATGAATGTTTACATGCTTTAATTTTATAATTTGGACAACTATTTCAAAGATGACAATATGTAACCTATTAACTAGTAACATCTTACTGTATTTTTTTTCCTTGAAATTCTGTATTATTTGTACTCTTTTACTGCTTTGGTTTTTTTTTTTTTTATTTCCTTTTTTTTTTTCTCTTTAAATAATAATAATAAAAAAAATTTCTTCCTTTCAGGGTTCCTTTTGTTTGTGATAGGGTCTTACGTAGTTCAGGATAGCCTTGAACTACTATGTTGTCCAGGTTAGCCTCGAACTCATTGTGATCCTCCTGCCTTACTGTGCACCACCATGCCTGGCTTTTTTATTTTCTTCTGAGATGGCATCTCAGCTGGGTATTGTGGCACGTGCTTGCAATCACAGGAATCAGGAGGCTGAGACAGAAGTATTGCAAGTTTGAGGCCAGCCTGGACTAGACACTGAATTCAAGGCTGGCCTGGATTACATACTGCAATCCTATCTCAAACAAACAAAACAAAACAAAACAAAAGCCAACCAACCAAACAAAAAAAACCAAAGCAGGAGGAGGGCTCTCTTTTATGTTGCACAAGCTGGCCTCAAAATCATGACCTCCTGCCCCAGCCTCCTGAATAGCTGGTATTACTGGCATGTACTCAGCATCCAAAGTTCTTATTTAGTTTTTTGATACGGGGTCTGCTTCTATAACCTAGACTAGACTTGAATTTACTTCCCTCCTTCCTCAGCCTCCAGGTTGCTGGGATTACAGGAATACACCAACACACCTGGGCTTTCCAGAATTCTTTCAACTGCCAGATTCTCTCCTTTGAAAGCAACAGAGCCTTAAGACTACAACCCTCAAACAGACCCACCATCTTCAGTCTCCTGGCTGCCTTCTCACCTCCTGGTAGGATGAGACAGACCAGGGAGAGTGAATAAGTGAACAGCGAGGCCATTCTGAGATGTGCGGCCTCTTGTCCTGGAACAGAAGATAGTAGTAAGGTGTGGGGGAGCATCTTACAGGCTTTTGATTTGTACAGGCCTGAGTGTGGAGCCTGTCCTGCCAGCAGGGGATCCTCATCCATGAAAGAAGGATGAGAAGAAGGCTCCCGCAGTGGGAGGTTGTAGAGATCAAATGAGGGACTGATAGCAAGGCCTAGATTTCAGGTCTTGCAGCTGCAGGTAGACAGTGTCTGAAAAGAGGCTTTGGGATGGTACAGGGTAGAAGGATGAGTGTTATGGGAAACTATCTTGAATGCAGACTGCCCCCTCCCAAAAAAGTTTTTAAACGGGGCACAATGGCACACACCTATAATCCCAGAACAGTACTTAGAGACCAAGGCAGGAAGACTGCTCCAAGTTTGAGGCTAGCCTAGGCTCCACAGTGAGTTCAAAGTCAGTCTGAACTACATAGTGAGATCATGTCTCAAAAAAGCCAAAACAAACTCGGGATTTAGCTCAGTGGCTCAAGGGCTTGCCTGGTAAGCACAAGGTCATGAGTTCATCTCCAGTACAAAAAAAAAAAAAAAAAAAAAAGCCAAAACAAACAACAACAAAAATTTTTTACACCATGCTTGTAAGCCCAGGCTGAGTAAGAAGGGTCACACATTCAAGCCTGGGCAACCTTGTGACTTGGTGAGACCCTATCTCAAAATGAAAAATAAAAAAGGGCCATACTGGAGCTCAATGCTAAGGCCCTAGGTTCAATTTCAATACTGGAAAAACAATTAAAAATTAAGAAAACATATGAAAGCAGTACTGAAACATTTTCTAGACTCTCATCAGATATATGGGAAAATATAGAGGAGAATCATGGCCACACTTGAAACAACATGTGCAAAGGCTAAGATCTGAGACACAGTGATAAATAACTGTAAAATTACTATTTTCATACCACTAGAACCACCATTACTATGCCATCTATTACTATATTTTATACTATTTCTGTTAAAATCATGGCAGGGGCTTGACTACAGATAACAGCTTTGGCAGAATTAAGCCTTTAAGCACCAACTTTAATAACCCATCCTTCCTGATTCATACAGCATGCAAAAGTCCAACTCCATCATTCTTCATGTTACTACTATGTTTCAGAGAGGACTGAAATGGATCACAAAGTGTCTCCCCACCCTGACTCCACTGCCCCCAAAGTATCATTTGCTTTATAGTAAGAAATGTGAAAGAGCATGTTGCATTTAACATGCATGTTACACTCACACATGCACACCCTATGCAAGCAATGCCTGTTATTTTCCAAGTCAACTTGGGCTAGTCACTTAACTTTTCTATGTCTTGGACTCATCATATAAAATAGGACAAAAATCATAAAGCTGATCTCCCCGGTGTGCTAGAAGTACAAGTACTTGAAGTGATAGCCTTAAAATAACTGCAGTTGATGTGAATTCTATGTACTGTGAAGAGCCTCTCTCCAAACCAGTGCTCAGGACATGTCATTACTGAGATTCTCCCTGTCTCAAAATAAAATTTTTTAAAAGGGCTAGGGATGTAGTTTAGTGCAAAGTCCCTGGGTTCGTGGGTTCAATGCCTAGTACTACAAACAAACAAATGAGAGAGACAGAGGCAGAGACAGAGAAACAGAGGCAAACAGTTACAAGGTACAAGCCTGGTAGGCAGCTTCATCACTAATGCCCTCTGACTGGGACAGCTCAACAGCAATTTGAACTGTAACCATATGTGGAGGTTTCAAAGAGAAGACTACTTGAAATACCAAGCACCTGAAATATAAACTTGAATCTGTGGGCAGTGTCCATTCATTCGAAACAAAAGTGGCCCTCTCTAGTATTTGGTGCTAACAAAATTCTTGAAGAGCTGGAAGGAACATAATTGTACTCATAAAACTAGTCCTACCACTTACTGAGTACTTTCTATGTGCTAGGGGATGGGCAAGACACCTTCACACAACTTTTATGTATTAACCATCACCCAAGAGGGGAACCACTGTTAGACCCATTTTAAAGACATTGAGGCCAAAGGAATTAGTGACTTACCTGTGGTCACACAGTAACCTTTTTTTTTTAAGTCTTTTTCTTTTTTTTTTTTTTTTTGTCTTTTTCCTTTTTATCGGTACCGGGGATCGAACTCACGACTGCCTGCTTGCAAGGCAGGCGCTTATGCCGCTGAGCTAAATCCCCAGCCCCGTCTTTTTCATTTTTATAGGTACCGGGGATCTAACTCACGACCGCCTGCTTACAAGGCAGGTGCTTATGCCGCTGAGCTAAATCCCCAGCCCCGACAGTAACCTTTCTATGAGGACCTGTCATGGCACAAAGGCCCTTCCTACCAGGAGGTCCCCTCACCTGTTGAACTCTGGGAGTTTCTGCAGGTCCAGCAGGGCTGAGTGGCAGGTAATCCGGGTCAGGTCGAACTGTGTTATCAGCTCAGGCAGGGTCCTGCCCATCTGGTTCTCTGTAAGTGAGGCCACCCAGCTGTTTAGCTTCTTCTTTCCCTTCCTCTTCATTTTCCTTTTTCTTTTTGAGATGGTAATCTAAAGTTTAGCCCAAGCTGGTCTCCTGGACGCATAGGATCCGTTCACCCTAGCCTCCCAAGTGCTAGAACTAGGTAAGCATCATCTTGTGTGCCTTCTCTCCTCTTTTGTGGTACTGGGGGTTGAACTTGCTCTACCACTGAGCTATATCCCCCAGCTCCTCTCATTTTTAATTTGGGATGGTCCTGCTAGGTTATTCAGGCTGAAATCAAGCTTGTGATCCTCCTGCCTCAGTCTCCCAAGTAGTTGGGATTACAGATGTGTACCACTATGCCTTGCTCTGTCCACTTTTTTCTTTTTTAAGACAAGACATTGCTATGTAGTTCACACCATTCTAGAACTTGCTATGTAGCCCAGGCTGTCCTCTAACTCAGAATCCTCCTGCCTCCACTTCTCGGGTGTGCTGCCATGCCTGGTTCTTCTGTCCACTTTTAAACACAAGGACAGCTGAGTGAATGAGTAAGCACTGGACTTGCTATTCTAGGTCACTGACCTAAACAATTAGACTTCCAGCTGCTTTTACATTAAGGGCCGAAAGAAGCTTTCATTTCCAAAAAGGATTCTATCATGTCGCTGTGGGAAAGAGTCCAAAAACACTTAGGTGAAATCAATTCTCATTTCCTAAAACACAAGCTAAAGAACAGCGTGCCTATTATCTGGTTATACCTCAGAGTTGATCTGATTAGTTCTGAGTAGGGTCGGCATAGCTACGTATTATAAAAGCTTCCGCCAAAGTGCAGCCATAGTTGAGAACTGCAGGGTTGGAAATAGCTTCAGGTCAGCAGGCATCATAATAAGGCACAGGACTATAGTTCTAGATCCCTTACTGTGTGATGCTGGCAAGTTATTCAACCTCTTTGAGCCTCACAATTCCTTACAAACAGTTGTGATAACAAATATCTATCTCAAGGACATTTTAAGGGTTGATGAAATGATAACAGAATAAATAACAGATGATCACTGCATCACTTTCAGAAATTCCTACCACAAGCAGCCATCCTATTTAATGCTCAATTCTTTCAAGTTTGGGCATTATGTCCTAGGCCAAGTTTTACAGATTTGGCTTAGGATTAACCAGATTTATAGTACCATTAGTAATTATTGTTAGTGGAGTATATACCTGTGTAATTGTAATAACCACAGGAGCTATATTTTTGTGTTTATTGGGTGACAGGCATTGAGCTGGGGCCTCATACTCCTGATCCTACTGAACCTTAACTGAAGAGGGAGCCACTTTCTCACACTGCACAGAGGTGGCAACTGAGACTTTCACTGGGGGCAGGGTCTATGCCTTTACTTTTCACTGTCTTTTGTGCCCAGCACTCAATATGCTATCTGACTTGAGAAACATTTGTTGAATAAAATAATGAACTTTTTTTTTTCTTTTTTATCGGTACTGGGGATTGAACTCACGACCACACACTTGCAAGGCAGGCACTTATGCCGTTGAGCTAAATCCCCAGCCCCAATAATGAACTTGTTTAAGATCATGTGGCTGGCAGGGGGCAAAGTTAGGACAACCAGGTTTGCCCATACCAAAGACCCTGTTCTGCACAGCTACACTCTGCCACTAGAACTGCTCCGGTAAGTGGGTACCTGCAAACCCTGAGCCACAGTTTGTGATGATGTCGAGCAAGGCATCAGGTAGAAAGCCGGCAGCAGCGAAATGTTCCAGGAAAATGTCCCCTTGCCTCTTGGACAGCTTGCTGCCATCCCTGTTGAGAAGCAGGGGCAGGTGGGCAAAGTGAGGTGGCTGCCAGCCTAGTGCTTGGTAGAGGAGCAGGTGCTTGGAGGTGGAGATTAGCCATTCAGAGCCCCGCAGCACATGGCTGATGCCCATGTGGTGGTCGTCCACCACACAGGCCAGGTGGTATGTAGGGAAGCCATCGCTCTTCAGGATGACTGGGTCACCTTCCACATTAGCGACTTCATGCCGAGTCCAGCCATATACCAGGTCCTGGAATGCTGATGCTTCCTCTTCCAGGCGGAAGCGGATAGCGGGCTTGGGGTCTGTCGCCAGCTTCTGGGCTACCTGCTTCTGGCTCAGGTTCCGGCACCGATTATCATACCTGATGGAAAGCAAGGCAGCACAGTAGCTAAGAGAACTTAGTCCCACCTTTGCCTCTAATGTCTCTATGATCCCGAGTAAGTCATTTACCTCTTTAAGTTGCTTCATCAGTCTACAATGAGGAGAATAAGGTTGTTGTGGGAAAAACCAAGTGAGGTAACAGTGTGGCAGATACTAAGGTTTGCTACCAAACAGGAACTCTTTCCTTTCCCCTTGTTAATGAGAAAATGGCCAAATGCTTAGACTGAGATGTTGAACAGTGATTATTACAGTCAATCTTGCAATCCCATCACCTGATGCCGATGACCAGTACAGGTAGGAATATAATCATATCCTAGTCAACAGTCAAAGAAAACTACACTCAAGGGATATGTAAGGGCTAAGGTTTTTGTTTTTTGTTTTTTTCTTTTGGTACCAGGGATCAAACTCATGATCTCATGCTTGCCCGTCCTGTGTTTGTGCCACTGAGCTAAATCCCTGGCCCAAGGGCTAAGGTAGCAAATTGGTTCCAAATGAAGATAAGAGAGAGCTGCAAGAAGGAAAATTTTCCTCTTGAATTTCTTACTTGCTCCCCTACAGTCCTTGTTGGACAACTGTACTCAGGTGCCTGATCCACAGAAACTGCAGGGCAAAAACATCTGAGAATAACTGTGTATACTGGTGACCTTTCTTGCTGCTGAGACATACCTGATGCCCACAATTCAAAAGAGGACAGTTTAACTTGGCTCACATTTTAAGGAGATTCAGTCCATGCTCATCACCTGTGATGTATACAGTATACATTCCCAGGCATTGTGCCTTTTTTTTTTTCAATACGGCACCCATCCTTCATGGCCACGTCTAAATGGTTCACAGGCATCTAGCTCTCAAGTAGAAACATCATGGCTGAGGGTGTGACAGAGCAAAGATGCTTTCTTCAAGGCAGCTAAGAAGCAGAGCAAAACAGTACCAGAGAGTAATCAGGTCACACCTTCCCACGCCACCCCGACATACCCACAAGTGTAGCAGACACTACGGTTTGCTACCAACCGATTCCCTGGGCATCTCTCAAGTCAAGCAAACTGACATAATCAAACCTGACATCACACTGATTATGCAGCAATAGACAACAAACACAGCCAACTCTGGGAGGCATTCTTGAGGGTTGGGCTCTTACCGGGGTGTCTGATGGTTCCTCAGGGCCTCCTTCTTTAGGAGCTCTAGTCGCTGTGATGAGCAGAAGCAGGGATAGGCAGCTCCTATCTTTAGCAGTGTTTCAGTGGCCTGGGCATACAGCTCTAGCCGTTGCGACTGCTGGTAGGGTCCTGCAGGACCTCCCCGACGGGGGCTCTCATCAGGGGGGATGCCTGGGATCCAGGCAGAGAGAATCATCTTAGAATGACAGTACCTAAAATGCACACAGCATTCATTCCCAGGCATTGTACTTTTTGTTTTTTAACCTGGCATTGCAGATATTGTAATATCCACCTCTGAGAGTGGTGTCAAAATGGTTCATAGGCAACCATGCCAGAGTCATGAAGTATACAATTTTTTGTTTTGTTTTGTTTTTTTGCGGTAGCGGGGATTAAACTCATGACCTTGCACTTGCCAGGCAGGTGTTTATGCCACTGAACTAAATCCCCGGCCCGGAGTAGTTATTTAATACACTGTCAGAATCCAATAATAAAAGCTGGGTATGGTGGTGCACATCTATAATCCCACACTCAGGCAGCTAAGGCAGCAAGATCACAAGTTCAAGGCCAGCCTGAATTACACAGTGAAACCCTATCTCAATAAATAAATAAATGAAAATTAAAAAGGGAAGGGATCCTTTTTTGGCTTTGTTTTTTTGAAACATGGTCTTGGTAGGTAGTTCATGCTGGTCTTGAACTCACTGGTTAGCCCAGGCTAGCCCTCACACTCATGGAAATCCTTCTTCCTCAGCCTTACTAGTGTTGGGATTTTAGCGTGCACCACCATGCATGACAGGGAGAGGTTCTTAAAGTGCAAAGGGCCTGGGTTCAAGCCCTAGTAACTGAAAGAAAACTGAAAAAGGAAGATTGGGCATCGTGGTGCATGTCTGTAATCCAGAACTTGAAGACTAAGGCAGGAGGACTGCTAGGTTAATAGTGACTCCAAAAAAAAGTGATTCTGTCACAAGAACTGAAAACATGTTTATATAAAATTAGTACCCAAATTGTGATAGCAATTTTATTCCTAGGAGCCCAAATGTGGAAACAACCCAAACACTCATCCACAAGTGGAGAGAAAAAACAAGATGTAGCATACCAATACAATGAGTATTTGAGTATTTGCTCATTTGTATATGCTATCACCCAGATGGCTCCTATAAATGAATGAAGCCAGTCACAAAGGACCACATATTTTATAATCTTATTAAGTATCTAAAAGAGGCAAATCTACAGGGATAGAAAGTAGATTGGTAGTTACACAGGATGGGGAAAGGTAGATTGGGCAGGGACTTATTAGTATAAGTACAGGGTTTCTCTCAGAGTACTAAAAATGTTTAGAATTGGTGATGGATGTATAGCAAAATGAATATAGTAAAACTGAACTATTAATTCAAAATGTTGAATTTTAAAGTATATGAATTATATGTAAGAAAAAAAGCTCCCAAACAGAGCAGACCCAAAAGTCTGCCACCTCTGGGTACCTGGACACCTGGCCTTTGGTCTTTCCTACCATTGCAACTTTCATGCCTAGCAGTCCTGACATGCAGCAAGCACTCTATGAACTGAAGTCCTCACTCTGGCCTGCACGACACTACAGTGGTACCTTGATTTATGAATTTGCTTCTTTCCGCAATACTAGTTGTAGAATTTATTCCACATGCTTGCAACTCATTTGCAACTAGAATCATGGGAAGAACCTAAGTTGGTGAACTGAGGTTCCACTGTACATGATTTGACTCCTACCATAGCAACATCTCTGTCCACAGATTTGCAGTTATTCTACTTTGTTCATTGTCTGCAGCCACACTGGCCTCCTTGCCACTCCTCAAATACACTCAATACTGTACTTTTTTTCCACAGGACAGGTGCAGCTGCAATTCCCTCTTCTTTGAATGTTACTCCCGAGTAATCGCAAGGCTAGCCCCTTGCTTCATTCAAGTCTCTGTGCCAATGTTACTTCCTCAGCAGAGAATGGGCCATCTAGAAAAGCCCTCTTTACTCCAGTACCTTAACCTTACTTTACAACTTTTACTATCACTATCATCTTAAGAATGAATCATTTAGGGGGCTGGGGATTTAGCTCAGCGGCATAAGCGCCTGCCTTGCAAGCAGGCAGTCGTGAGTTCGATCCCTGGTACCGATAAAAACAAACAAAAAAAGAATGAATCATTTAGGGGCTGGGGATTTAGCTCAGCGGCATAAGCACCTGCCTTGCAAGCCAGCGGTCGCAAGTTCGATCCCAGGTACCAATAAAAATGAAAACAACAACAACAACAAAAAAAGAATGAATCATTTGTTTATTTGTCTTGGACTTTGGTCACTATCCTCAGCCCCTGGAACAAAACGGGGATCACAGTAAGTACTCTACTTGAGTAAATTCCTTTCTTCAATGAACCTCAAATGCCTATGTGCTAAAATCTATCATAAAAGCTAGAAATAAAATGGGTTCCTGCCCTGTAGGAATGAAGTGAAGTGAATAATTTACCTGAGATGAGAATTTACATCTCAAAACAGTTTGGTGTTTTTCCTTAACATTGTTAATCTTCACTGGTTATACCTGTCCATAAGGGTTTTCTGATCCAGGAAACACAAACACACACCTCCTTGTTCTCCCTGAGGTTAGCTATTCTCAGGATTAAAATTCCCACAAAAAGAGTGACTTCAGAGACTGTACACATTGTTTGGCAGTCACACTGTGCTTAAAAAAAAGTGGGGGGGGGGGCCTCAGATTTAACAATGGAAAGTATTCATTAAGAAAACAAAACATAACAAAACAAACCTCAAAATACTAAATTGCTGGCTCCTCCTGGAACCAGAAGACTGGACAAGAGGAGCAGCAGTCTCACGACAATAGTGGCTAGAGTTCAAACGCACTGCCACTTCTGAGTGAGGCTCACCAAGGGCCTTGCTTGTCCAGCTTCCACAGGGGCTATGTTTTCTGTCTGGTCCCTACAGAAAATGGCCTTGAGATTCTGAGATAAGGAAAGGAATCCCAGATACCATGTCTCTTCATAATAGCCCACCTTCTGCTATAGGGATATTCAATTTATATCTACATTTTCATACTTTTACTTGACCCAAACTTACTCTGCAGAGCCTGTTTTTTCCCTATCTTTTATTTTTTATTTTTTCTTTGTCTTTTTCTTTTTTATCGGTACCAGGGATCGAACTCACGACCACACACTTGCAAGGCAGGCACTTATGCCACTGAGCTAAATCTCCAGCCCCTGTTTTTTCCTATTTTTAACATACATGAAACAGTCGATTTGAGGATGATAATATGCAGTGCACATACCATTGTTCACCCGATTGATGTGCTCTGAAATTTCATTATAGTTTTTTCCTTCTTTTTCTTTTTATCTTTGAAAAAAAAAATGGATTTGAAACAAAAATATTTAGGCAAAGATTTTTTTTTTTTGTCTTTTTCTTTTTTACCAGTACCAGTGATCGAACTCAGAACCACACACTTGCAAGGCAGATGCTTATGCCACTGAGCTAAATCCCCAGCCCGAAACAAAAATATTTACATGCTAAAAAAAAAAAAAAAAAAAAAAAAGGAACCTATGTGAGTATTGTAAAAAAAGACAAAGAAATGGAATACCAAGATAGCCTTGAACCGTGGCTTCAGAAAGCGTTGATATATTTTCATGTGGTACCTGCCACTCTAAGCAGCTAAGATATACCCATTTTTCCAGGACTCCTAATTCTCCACTGTAAGCCCCATGAGATGATCTATAGCCCCTTTCCCCACTCCTTCCTTTGAGAAAGATCCTTTCCCTGCCAGGAGCCTCACCTGCCCATTCCAGCATGTCCTCAATATTCTCTGCTGCCCCAGGCACAAGGCGGGTCTGATCTGTGTCCTCCAACCGAAGGATGAAGCTCCCCTGGTGCTTTTTAGCAAAGATGTAGTTGTAAAGGGCAGTGCGGAGGCCACCCAGGTGCAACAAGCCTGGTAGGAGAAGAGAACAGCTCAGACGAGAGAGAAAATGAGCTCTCCTTGTGATAGAATGCCCCAACCAATATAAAAAACCAAGCAATGGCTATGTCTGTCCCACCTCCCTGCCAATATCCAGTCAGCCAGCCAGCCACTGATGAAGACGATGGGGTGGTAGAATTCAGTCCCTCACGCTAGAAGAGGACTCCACCCAGGTTTCTGAGCATGTTATCTCGCAAAAATGCTTCAAGTCTCCCTCAATGTATGTATCACTCTCCTTTGGTATTCACCTTAAGGCCAATTTTCACCTCAAGGAAAAGCAGATGATTACTTAAGAAAGTGATATCGCACATACAAAATAACTCATACAAATTTAATCATGTGTTCTGGTAAAAAAAAAAAAAAAGTAAATTAATGCCCAGGTATTATGGCACATGACTGCAATTTCAGTACTTGAGAAGTTGAGGAAGGAGTATTACTGTGAGTTTGAGGACAGCCTGGGCTACAAAGTGAGTTCAAGGTCCTCCTGAACTGCATAGTTCTCAAAAAGGTCTCAAAAAGGACCTCCTTTCCCTCGTCCCCAAAAGTAAACTGATTACAAATGAAAAACAAATTTTTTGGTCTTGAGCCAGGATCACACTATAATTCAGATTGGTTTAGAACACACTATGCAGCCTAGGTTGGACTAGAACTCACAGTGATCCTCCTGCTTCAGCCTCCTGAGTGCTAGGATTACAAGTGTGTGCCACTATGCCTGGCCAAAAAACAAATTTAAAATAGTGTATAATCACATTTTCCATACATACTCTTATCTACATCATATAGTTTGAATCTGGTCTCCTTGAGATTTGTACTCTTAAGTCTTGTTTATAGAGATAGGGTCTTACTATGTAGTTCAGGCTGGTCTCTAACTCCCAGCAACCTCCTGCCTCAGTCTCCTGAATGGTGGCATTAGAGGTCACACTATCATGTCTGGCTTGGTAGTATTTAAAACTGTGATTTAGCCAGGCATAGTGGCACATGCTTATAAGTCTAGCACTTGGGAGGCTGAGGCAGGAAGATTGCCTTGAGTTCACAACCAGCTAGGACTATACAGTGGTTCAAGGCCAGCCAAAATACATAGCAACACCCTGTCTCAAAACAGTGAAAGATAAATACTAACCAAAAGCAAAATTAAGTTTCCCCAGGGCTATCCAATAAGCTCCTCTGCATTTCCAGGTACAGCCACAGAATAGGAAAAACTTCTCTGGACTCAGGTAGACCCCTGGTTCAATACAGATTAGGTGGGTAATGTTTGGCTAAATAGTCAAGGCCACCACAAAACCAGTTGTGCTCTATGGCACTGGGTTCCAGGAGTCCCAAGACACAAGACCCAGGCCTACTAGTTGAAAACAAAGCCTCATATATCATAAAGGAATCAAATCCATCATTTACTAGTTACTATCCTTTGGGCAATCAACTTAATTTTTATGAGCTTCAATTTCTTTTCATCTGTTGAATAAATTAAAAAAAGGAACCTTCCAAAATTGGGGTTGGTGGCATGTCTATAATTCCAGTATTAGAGAGTCTGTGGCAATTCGTTTGTGAGTTCAAAACCAGCCTGAGCTACACAGTGACTTAGTAAGAGCCTGTCTCAAAGTAAAAAATAGTAAAAAAGGACAGGAGTGTGGTTCAGTGTTAAACTCTGGTTTCAATACCCAGTACTGGGAGAAAACAAAATAGGAACCATCCTCACAATGGGATTGCTGTGATATCTAAATGCTGTCTGAAACATACTTTAATTACTGTCAGCTATTACAGTGATTTATATTGCTTGGTAATTCTTCTGTCTGTAGTCAGCAGCATTTCCCATACGGCCTTTTCTCACACATTAGCAAGGAAATGTGAATCACAATTACACTGATAGAGGCTTCACTTTATAACTGCTTTCTACTTGTATGAGTTCTTACTAACTAGCTCAGCTGTAATGGTTCAAATCCACACTGCAGATGTCATTATTATCCCTACTTGACAAGATGGCAAACCTGAGGCACATGAAAATTAGGTAATTTGTTCAAATTAACATGCGGGATTGGCAAAGACAGAAAATTGGATCTAGGGCCGGGGATTTAGCTCAGCGGCATAAGTGCCTGCCTTGCAAGTACGCAGTTGTGAATTCAATCCCCAGTACCAAAAAAAAAAAAAAAAAAAGAAAAAAAGAAAAAAAAAATTGTATCTAGACAATCGTAGGTTTTGGCACTCTTTGAAAGTGCCCCTTGGGGCTGGGGGTTTAGCTCAGCGGCATAGGCACCTGCCTTGCAAGCAGGTGGTCGTGAGTTCGATCCCCGGTACCGATAAAAATGAAAAAGACAAAAAAAAAAAAAAAAAAAGAAAGTGCCCCTCAAAGGAAAGTAGGCAGATCTAGGGCTGGAATGCAAACTGCTGCCAGTTGACAACAGGTAGCACAAAAACAGAGGGTAAAGATTTGGACACTGACATTAATTTAGCCTTTTGAACCTAACAAAAAATATATATATGTACGTATTTTGTATATATATGTACTCATGACCTAGTACTTGCCAAGCAGGCACTGTGTCACTGAGCTATATCCCCAGCAGGTATATTTTAAATTTTTTATTAGAACATGTTTGCAAGACTTGTATTTTGTATCCTAGCAACATTTTCATTTTTCTAGAAATACATTTATACTGATTTTATATAAATACTGGTTCACAACTGGAAATTAAAAATCACTACTTCCATCACTGTAGGTTTGAGAGGCACTCAAACCTACTTAGTGCTCTGCACTGTCACGCCTGCCCACAAAGATTCTGGCATTCTGCCAACTGGTATTTTGCCAGTTGGCAAGATCTTTATCTGTACATCATGGGGTCTGGAATGTAAGGAATGCTTAGGGCAAAGAGGGCCAATATTAGCCTTGGTAAGCAAAGGGCAATGGGGTCAGGTGTGGTAGTCCACACCTGTAATCCCAGCAACTGAGAGGCTGAGGCAGGAGGAATGCCAAGAGTTCCAGGCCAGTTTGGGCTACATACTGAGTTTAAGGTCAGTATGAACTACATAAACTGGTCTCAAAAAAAAAAACCAAAAACAAAAAAACAACCAGAAACAATGAACTAATGAATGAACAGAAAAAAAAAGAATAGAGCAGTGCTGGGAGCTAGCACAAGCTAGCAGGATGGAGGGTGGAGCTATTCAGTGGGCCTCTTGTCCCTCTAACTTACTAAGCTTCCAACAATACTAATCTAAGCTTTTGCAGGTGACATTCATTCCCTTTACTCAGTTTCCTTCTATAAGCTTCAGATAAGGCAATTCCTTCTTGTTTAAGGAATTTATTTATTTTTGTATCAGAAATAGAACTCAGGATCTTGCCAGGTGAGTGCTGTGCCACTGAGCTATATCCCTGGCCCTACTTTTTTTTTTTTGTCCTGGGGTTTGAATTCACGGCCTCCCACTTGCCAGGCAGGCCCCTATGCCACTGAGATAAATCCCCAGCCTGGCCCTATTTATGTTTTGAGACAGGGTCTCACTATCTAGGTCAGGCTGGCCTCGACTTCACAATTCTCCTGCCTCAGCCTCCCAAGTGCTGAGATTATAGGGGCATTTCACTACATCCAGTGGGGATTCTTTGACGTTGGTTCTCTGCCAAAGTATGTCAGAAAAGCACTCTCAAGGACCATCTCATGTCTCTTATTCTGTTTCATGTCCTGCATGGCACACGTGGCTCTAAGTATTTTTTTTTTTTGGTATTGGAGATTAAACCCAAGGCCTTAGCACTGAGCCACATTCTTACCCCTTCCTTTCTGAGACAGTCTTACCTAAATTGCCCAAGATGAATTTGAATTAGTGATCCTCCTATCTCACTCTCTCAGAATGCTAGATTATACGCATGTTACATGCAATTTAAAATTTTTTATATGCACTTTTCAGGCAAGAATATAGGCCCTTTGAGAGAAGGAGCCCCAACCTTTCCAACCACCAGAACTGGTGGCAAACCTATGGTACACGTGCAGCATTGAGCATCACTAAAAGTTCTCTAAAAGGTTCGCTTCTGTGTCCTGGCGCGTCGTAAGCGACACAGTTTACACTAAAAACCTTTCATTGAATGCAGTTTACACTAAAAATCTTTCATTGAAGAAAAGCACTCAAAGAGACGGCACAGTATTTCAACTTCTGCCTCTGTAAAACAGGGTCGTGAACCCCTTTTACCTGCCCGCCCCTTGACACCACCGGAAAGGGTAAACTGAGCAGCATTCTGGGGGCGGGGACGCACAGTGTCGAGGCCTGCAGCGTCGCGTCCGCCAGTTACCTGTGGGGCTGGGGGCGAACCGCACACGTACCGCACCCCCGACATCTGCGCTCAAACTGGCCTCACGCCACCCCATAGGGCGAGCTAAGGTCACTGGGACTGTCCCGGGATGCAAAACTCTCTTCCAGAGCGCCGCCATGTGTGCTGGTAACGCACACGTGGGCTTCTCTGCGTCACTTCCGGGTACACCTCCCAGCCAATCGGCGTCCGCCACAGCGGGCTAGCCCCGCCCCTTAAAGGCAAAGATCTTAGTTTGAAAGCAAACTCCCCCATGAACGACTGAGGTCGCCGTCAACCACTAGAGGGCAGAACGGGGCAAGCGGGCTATTTCCCGGGCCCGCCCCCCTCATCTTGGGAAAACTAAAGCGTGGCAGGGGCCGGGCCGGGGAAGCGGAGGAGGCGGGTCTCCATAGAAACCTCCACCTGTTTCCGGCCAGCCTGTGCAAGATTAGGGGCTGCTGCGGGGGCCAATCTCAGTCGGTTCGCTTCTTCCCGGCGGCCTCTGCGTGAGCGGTGGGTGTTGTACACAATCATCATGGCGGCTGCCGGGGCCCCGGATGGTGAGTGCGAAGCGGGTGGCGGGAGCCAAACCAGGGCCGAGGTTGCAGGCGCTTCGCGAGGCGGCAATGCGGCCTATGCCGGGAGGGAGTAGCGTGGCCCGGGAGCCGCGGTTTGGCGGTGCCAGAGCCAAGTCCGGTCCCAGGCCCAGCCTTTGGCGAGCGCCTACTCTATAACCCACTTTGCAGGCATGGAGGAGTCTGGCATGGACACCGAGGCCGAGACGGTAGTCACCGAGGCGCCCGCGCGGCAGCTCAACTGCGTAGAGGCCGAAGCGGCGGCGGGGGCGGCTCCCGAGGACTACTGCGACGCGCGAGACAACCTGCAGCCTGCCCCTGCCCAGCCCCCTGGGGACTCCGCGGCCCAGGCCTCGGTCAGCAACGGCGAGGACGCAGGCGGCGGTGCGGGCAGAGAGCTGGAGCTGGTGGACCTGAAGATCATCTGGAACAAGACCAAGCACGACGTGAAGGTTCCTCTGGACAGCACAGGTTCCGAGCTGAAACAGAAGATTCACTCCATTACAGGTAATCTCGGCGCTGACAGCTAGCCTCTTCCACCTCACCTCCTTCTAGTCTCTTGTGCTTTCGCTGTTCTGGACTTTTCTCTTCTCTCAACCCTCTGCAGTCTCCGGAAGTTAGTTCTTAAACGTCTGTTGTTAATCAAATGGGAAAAGGAGACCTAAAATCACATCTTGTGACTGTGAGATTCAAGCCCGGGTATTTAGAATGCAAGCTTCAAACTAGTGCTGTTCTAAGTTCATTAGTAAAAACACCTGAAACACTTGTTACATTTACAGTTCTAGGCGATTCCCCTGAAGATTCTGATTCAGTGGATCTGGAATGAAGTCGTGAACCTATTCTTAGAAAATATTTTAGGTAATTTTCATGAGGGAAGTTAAGAAACACTACCATTGACTGTCTCACTGACCCTTAAAATTATTCATGTTTGTTCATATTATGTTATGCTTTGCCACTTGAAACAATTTTTTAAAAGTTTCTCCATGTAGCCTGTAAAGTCATAAGAACAGTAATCTTGTCCTTACTGGCTTTTATTCCTCACCTCTGTGAATTCTCACCATTTGAGTGATTAGATGACTAATGAACAACTTGGGAGGTATTCCAATATTCACTGAACTATTACTCAGTTTAGTACAATGTGATGCACTATATACCCTACATTTTTACTGTGTCATAATCCATAAAACATGTATACTTAAAGACCAACTATCGTCCCTATCATAAAGAAGTTTGGGAAATGAAGGCTTAGATATTGTGAATTGCCTGTTTGCAAAACTAACAGATATTTACTTCCTGCTCTGTTACTCTCAATCCTTTTTTCCTATTTTTTTTTTTTTGAGATAAAGTCGTACTATGTAGTTGAGACTGACCTTGAACTCACAGTGATCCTCCTGCCTCAGTTTCCCAAGTGCAGTGATGACAAGAATGCACCACCATCCCAAGCTTCCTTGTGCTGTTTACTTAAGGGCTATGGTTGGTACGCGTTTGTGCCTTTCATTAACTCTGTGCTCTTTACTTTTTCCCAAGGACTCCCACCTGCCATGCAAAAGGTCATGTATAAGGGGCTTGTCCCTGAAGATAAGACGTTGAGGGAAATAAAAGTGACCAGTGGGGCCAAGATCATGGTGGTTGGCTCCACGATAAATGATGTTTTAGCAGTAAACACACCCAAAGATGCTTCGCAACAGGATGCAAAGGCTGAAGAGAACAAGAAAGAGCCTCTCTGCCGGCAGAAAGTGAGTCTATCTTATACTTGTTACTTCTGAGAAATTTGAAACTTTGTCTTCTCTAGCCTTGGTTGGTTACATTTTCCCTAGAATAAGTTCCTTTTTGGACAGGGCCCATGATGGAAATTTATGGCAGCTGTTGAGTGCGGCAGAGTGGAGGTGACAACTACCTGAAATTTGCAACTTTATGTCCTCTGGCGGGTCAGTGTGTCTCAAGTTTACCTACTTTAGAACGAGGCTTTTGTAAAAGGAGTTTCAGACCAGATGGTAAAAGGAGTCAGATGTGAGTTTCTCTGTCAGTCCTACTAGATTAATCTCCCATTTTACATATAAATGTGTATGTTTTTTTGGTTTGTGGCTTCCTCCAAGTCAAAAAAGCCCAATTACAGTTTTTTGTTTTGTTTTTCTTTTTGAAACAGGGTCTCACTCTGTAGTTCAGGCTAACCTTGGACTCACTTTGTAGTCCAGGCAGGCCAGGCCTTGAACTTGAAGCAATCTTCCTGCCTCAGCCTCCTGAGTGCTGGGATTACAGGCATGTGCCACCATGCCAGACTCCAATTATGTATAGGCATGGAAATCAACAAATTTTAGAAGTTTCTCTAAAATCACTTCAGGAAGCCAAATGAAGCTTGAATAGGAAGACAACAGGTTTTTTGTCCTCATCTGTGAAATATGGGCCGGATTTTTCATAATTTCTCCATTGCTCATATTAGGTAAAACCAGTTTTGTCTTGGATTAAGTTGTATTACTTTTTAATTTTATTTACTTGTTTGCTTGTTTACTGTGGTACTGGGGATCAAACACAGTGTTTGCAGTGAGCTACATCTGTTGTCCTTTGAAACTTTTTTTTTAAATTTTGAGAAAAAACTTACTAGTTGTTCAGGCTTAACTCAAACTTGCTATCCTCTTGCTTCAAACTTCCGTTGTGCTGCTGGGATTATAGATGTGCCACTATGCCCATCTAAAAGTGTTTACTAATTGGAACAGCCGTCATCTGTCTTGTTACTGCCATTGAATCCCACTTGTTGTTAATTAGCTACTGCACCAGGAAAACATGTTCTCAATTTAACCTGTGTCCTAGCGGAGTAGATCAGAAGTTTCACGGCACAGTCTGGCCAGAATTAGTATGAACACTCGAAATGTTGCTATATATACATCAGCATTTTTGGTAATAAGTTTTTGTCCTAACCTGTATTGAGGGTGTGTGTGTGGGGTTTGAACTTTGAACTCTAGGCCTTGCTACTGAGCTGCATCCCCAGCTCTTAATGGTTTTTTTTTTTTTTTTTTTTTTTTGAGACAAGGTTTTACTGAGTTGTCAAATTGCGTGTCATGAGCTGCAATTTAATTTTTCTGCCTTAGTCTCCCAGAGTGCTAAAATTACAGCCATGTGCTTACACGCCTAGTTTATGTGATATGCTTACTTTAAAACTATGTTGCTTTTACAGAACCTCTGAAATGCTTAAGTCTAAAACAGTATTCTTAAGGGGGTTTTTGTTCGTTTGTTTGGTAGTGCTGGGGAATTTTAACTGAGAGTCTTACAATGCTAAATAAACACTGTACCACTAAGATCCATTTCCAGCCCTTGTCCACTAGGTTTTCCATTGTGTTTTTTATTTTGATGCAGAGAATCAAACTTAGGGCCTCATACATGCTAAGCACATCCTCTGTTCCTGAGCTATACTCCCTAGCCCCTGTCTACAGAGTTTTAGATAAGGGATTATAAATGTATGTTAACACGTAAAAGCTGTTTATTTGAACAGTTTCGCTCTCCTGCAACTACTGGTTCACATTATCTTGTAATGTATTGAGTTCCTTTTTTCCCTTGTATGTGTGAAATAGATGGAAGTGAAGTAGTGGCACTAGTCATACCCTTAGAGCATAGCTTGCTTTGTAAATACAGGTTTTGAGTTACTAATGATAGCTTTACAGGCTTAGAACTTTTATCTACAGAGTGGGGGAAAACCTTCAAAAGATACTTGAAAGTTCAGACTCAAGTTGTTTCCAACCTCAGCTGTTTTGCTCTAGGGATGCCAGTTTTTATGAGGAATGAGATTCCAGTCTCTTGAATTATTGACTTGTTCAGGAAACAGGCTGATATATGTAGGGTAATCCTTTTGTTAGTAGTCTGGCAATATTGAATTTACTTCTACTAGATGATTCTGCCTTGCTCACTAGCTAGGGGTTGTGCTGCCTCGGGCCTCTTCTGTTGCTTAAGTTAGACTAGATTTTTTTTTTTTTTTATCAGTACTGGGTATCAAACTCATGACCACACACTTACAAGGCAGGTGCTTATGCCACTGAGCCCATCCCCACTAGACTAGATTTTTAACTTCTACGTATGTATTGTTCCATAGTTCCAATTTTACCAAGAAATTAGTGAACCTATAAAGCCATAGATGAGGGGAGAGGAGGAGGAGACTCAGGGATTTAGGCCAGGGAAGAGAGCTGTTTTAAGGGGCCTTGGTGGAACCCTTAATGAGTTGCCTCAGTCCTTGGCATGGGGATGGCAATGGGAACAGGGTTAAAGGACTTCTTAATGTCAGAGTATAGAGCACTCATCATGATTTTTGTTTGAAAATGTGGTTGCACAGGTTTTCTTGGAACAGTGGGAAGACTTCTGTGATGGACTAGGTCTGCATTTGTTTAAAGAAATGTCCTTTCTAGGCATTTAGGCTGATTTACCAAAATCTTGTAGCTCTCTTTGGGAGTTTTAAGTTGACAAATGTTATTGTCATTTACTACTTTCCAGGAGAACAGCATCTTTTGTAGCTCTCTTTTGTTTGATGTTTAATTCTGTCAGTGGTGACTTGGGTGGGAGCAGAGTAAAGTGTTTGAATTAGCAATCTAGAAATTCTATTAGCTCTCAAACTTTAATATAGTACCTATATCTGGATGATTAAAAATTAAGTAAAATTAAGAATTCAGCTCCATAATCTGACTACTTACATTTCAAGTGCAGAGTAGTCCCAGCACAAGCATAATGTCTGACATTAGGAAGCACATTTCATCATCACACAAACTTGAGCAAGACAATACTGATCTGCAGTGTCAGGGACACATACTTTGAGGACATTAAGAACTTTAGACCCAGAACCTGAAGGCTTTCTTCAAAGAGATTGCAGTATGCCTGAAATGTAGCTGTTTCTTATACTCTCTTCTGATTTATAGCAACACAGGAAAGTGTTGGATAAAGGAAAACCTGAAGATGTGATGCCTTCTGTTAAGGGTGTCCAGGTAAGTTGAATTCTTTGTGAGCATCTGAAAAGGAATTTGTCCCACATTCTGAGATTCCTGTAATTGTGATTTTAATCTGACCCTTCTGTTTTTCACTCAAATATCTCTTCATCTCTTACCATGGTATTGTACCTCTAGGAGCGCCTGCCAGCGGTACCTTTGTCTGGCATGTACAATAAGTCTGGAGGAAAAGTGAGACTCACCTTTAAGCTAGAACAAGACCAGCTGTGGATTGGCACTAAAGGTATGCTGTCTCACCATCCTCATCTTGGCTTGCTGCCTGTCTCTGGCACCCAGCAGCACTCACTTCTGAGTGCGAATCTCCTCATCTGGAAACCTCTCTCTCTTCACTATGCTGTGTGCTTTTGCCTTTTGAATCTGCATTTAGATGCTTGCCTCTCGTTTGGACCTTTTCCCCCTTATTATTTTCAGTGTGATTTCAGGGCCAATCCATCAGGATATTTACTCTTCAATTGTGTACAAGATCAGAGGTCCCAAATATGTGGTCAGAGGGTCAGATCTGGTCCCTAGGCAAGGGTTTTATGTGTTTTTACACAATTTACAAAAATGAGGAGATTTCAATCTGATTTTTAAATTTTTTTTTTTTTTGGTTTGGCTTCTCTTGAAAAAAAAAAAAATTAAAAATCTGGTCATATAGGGCCTGAGTTTTCACATGGCATCAAGGAACTAGAGCTGAGTCGTTTCCAGTGGGCCATGCTGTAGTGCCCATGGCGCTCTGTTTCACGTAGTCGGCTTCACTCATTTTTGTCACCTGTGTGTCCCCTCTGGGTCATTTTGACCGCGTGCTAGGTGACATTTCCTAATTGCTGCCCTTCCCTCCCTACTTGGCTGCATGTCCCATTACCACCACCTGTGCATAGTGTCTGGATCAACTTGCTGTTTGCTGGGAAATGCCTCTGACCATCCTCCTCTCCCTTCCCTCTAGATGGTTACAAAATCTTGTTGGTTACATTTCAGAATTTTCTGTGTGCTTTAACACTTTATTATGCCAGTTAAGGCTACTAGTGTCTTCCAAAGGTGATGTGTTAAAAGCATATCAACTTTGCCCTGTGTCTTCCTCTATCGTATTCATTTTCCATACTGCTGCTTTTCAGTGGTTCTAAGCTCCAAAACCTTTGGCTCATTAAGGCCAAGTTCAAATACTTAAACACAGTATTTTGGGTTCTCAATAATGGGCCCCAGTTTACACTGTTGCCTGCTCGGTTTACCCTGTTGTGCCCTGTGTATTCAGCTGCATCACCCCTGAACTTGCCAGCCAATGCTTTGCACAGCTTCATGTCTTTGCTCAAGCTGTGTCCTTACCTGGAATGCCTTCTTCCCATTCCTCATTAATAAAATCTTCCAAAGCCTTCCTTCAGTGCCCTCTCCTAATGAAGCCTTCCCTGATAGCTCCCTCACCCTCCAAATGAACTGCTGCTGCTTCTGTTCCTAGAGCACTCCCTTTGTATCCCCAGAGCACTCATTACTCTCTGACTTGTCTGTCCCCCTGTTAGATTCCTGGAGGGAACCGAACATGCCTAATTCACCTGTTTCTGGCCAGCACTGTAGGTATTCAGTGTTCGAGGTAAATGCTAAAGAGAAGTATAGGGGATTTCATCATCATGAGGCTAATTGACTTCAGGGACACCCATTTAGTATGACTCCTCTTAAAATGGGACTACAGTTTGACAGAAAATGAAACTTGGGGCAAGGGTGGTGGGGAATGAGATTTTTAACTAAAGCATGAAAATTTTAAAACACCGAATTTCTTGTTTCCAACACTATGCTAGTTCTTAAAGTGACTAGATTGAAGTGCCAAAAGCACTTGAGTCCTCTAACTGTTTCGTGATAATTGGCTATGTTCTTCATTTTACATTCAACTCCACCTGCATGGTTATTGCAAGTTGTGCAAATTTTTAAAAATTTCCCCAGTTTTTCCCAGGGCCTTTGAACCATTTGCCAAATAATTCTTTTCTGTAGGGCCTGTTCCCCCATTCCTTTTGTCATTAGCTGCCCTGCCTCTATTGGCTTTACAAGTGATCTTGCTTAGTTCTCCATCATTGCCTTCACTTGCTGAAGCACACAGATTTCCTGCCTCTTGCTAGCATTTTCCTTTTACTGCAGGCAGCCCAGCTGAAAGCGGTTGCCAAGGTTGATGCACAAGGATGATGCCCAGAAGGATGGGTGCAGGCAGGAGTTCTGGGGGGAGCCCGAATATCTACATGCTCATAAGGTCTTTAGGGAGTATTTTTGTTATGAAGTTAAATAGGAAACAATAATTGTAGGCACTGACCTAATGAGGATTGCCTATCTCCACATTACAGGTTTCATTTCATCTTTTGGAAGCAGCTACCTTGCACTTACGCATGAGGGCAGAGCTCTAAAAGTAGCTTGGTGCATTGGATTTCTCAGGCCCTAAGAGCCTTCTTCCTTGCATAGCTTAAGACTTCTCATTCCTTTTAGGCTTGACCAGGGCTGAGCTTTTCAGTCCCACCCAGAGCACTTTTCACTGTCCCTCAGCTGCCCAAGGGACGGGTGCTCTTCTCACGTGCCCAGGTTTCAAGTCATCCAAGTGTCAGAAGTACTTGGAGAAGGACAGCTTGTTCTGGGAGTTGGCTGCTAGCACTGGCTTTATATTTCTACTGGTTAGAAGTTGTAGAACAGCCATCTTGGCAGCCACCTTGCTTCATGGTGTAAGTGACCCCCCAGGAATACTTCTCCCAAGCTAAAGCTCTTTCTGCTGCCTTGTATTAGAAGACACTTAGCAACAGTCTCAGGAATGCAGCCAAAAGAACCTGCAGCTTCCTGGAACTCTGTCCCTAGTAGCATAGTTAAAGCTCTCTGCACAGCAAAGCTCCATGCAAAACAGGTGCACTTGAGTTCCAGATTGCTGTCACTCTGGGGTATAGACCCAGCAATGTCCAGTCTTCTGGAGTTTTCAAGAGAAACCAGAAATCTGTACCTTTATGTGAAATCTCTAGACATTTTAAGCTAGGAGTTTTTAATGATTCAGGGTGTTTTGTTTTGGCTTTTTGTGTGTGTGTGGGACCGGGGATTGAACTCACAACTCCCACTTGCCAGGCAGGAGCTTATACCAGCTAAATCCCCAGCCCTTTGTGTTGGCTTTTTGAGACAGGGTCTTACTGTGAAGTCCAGGCTGGCCTTGAACTCACTGTATAGACCAAGTCACCTCGGACTCATGGTGATCCTCTTGCTTGCTGGTGCTGAGATTATAGGCAAGTGCCACCTCACCTTGTGCAAAAATTTCAGTTTTGAAGACAGCTGTTGATCTTGTCCTGTCTGTAGACACTGCTGAGAGCCACAAAAAGTATAAACCTGAATGAGTACCTTTAAGTTCCTTCTTCCAGATTGCCACTTTTTCAGAACTTAGGGTCAGCGTCTTAAGTAAATAGCTAGACTAGAACCCCGGTCCGTAAATTCCAAGACTGTTAGGCAGTTTACCTATTTTCACATCCTACATTTTCGGATTTTCCTTTCTGCAGAGGCTGTAATGAGTCTTTCATTTTGGTTTAACTGTTTGCAGAGAAATGCCTGCCTGCATCTCAGGTGTTTGCTGCTTCTGGGAGTGATTTCCTGTGGTGCAGGCGCCCCCCATCCCTGCCTTCACACCAGTTCTGCAGTTGGCTCATGCTCAGCAGTCTCATTTCCAAGCACCCTGCACTGCCTTCTCCTTCTTACCCAATATCCTTAAACTTGCTGCAATATGTGTTCTGGCCCCTTGTGATTAGTGATATCTCCAGTGTCAGTTACATGAGGTTATAAGTGTTTGGAAGAACCTTGTAAAATGTGTTAGTACACAGGGTGAGGGGAAGAGGGAGATGGTGACAGGATCATGGTGTAAAGGAAGCAGCCTTAAAGCCCACGCATTGTGTCCTTGTGGGAGCTACAGGCAAAGACTGTTGCATTTTTCTTTGTGGGCTCTTAACTCTCCTGTTCTAGGTGTCCAAGACCATACCTGGGCTTGGGCAGTGAGGGTGTAAAGGAGTTTCTTGGGTTGTTACTAATCATCAGACTGTAAAAAACTAGTGTCAGGAAAACATACTTACAGACATACACATACAAAAAAAAAAAAAAAAAACCCCTCATTTTAGGAAAGATCTTTCTGTTCTCTGAGACCTTTATTATATTATTGCCAATTCATATTCACTTCTAAAGTTCCCAAGCAGGGATTTGGGAGCATCCATCAGAAGATGGTGTCCCATGTTCTTTAGAGGGCTATGCCAGTCAGCTGTTTATTATAGATCCCTCAGCCATGATGAGGGAGGGACTGCTGAGGCAGAGGAGTTAGAACAGGAAGACTTTTTGAATAACCACTGTCATCCTTCTCAATCTAGAACGGACTGAGAAATTGCCCATGGGCTCCATTAAAAATGTGGTCAGTGAACCTATTGAAGGACATGAGGACTACCACATGATGGTGAGTACTCCAGGTTAGCCTTGTCCCCAACTAGGCCTCTGCTTCTGTTAACTTCGTGGGGGATGGATTTGAAATTGAGCTTTTCTAATTGAGGCAGTGGGTATGGTGGTGCATCCCTGTAATCCTAGCACTTGGGAAGCTGAGGCAGGAGGACTGCAAATTCAAGACTAGCCTAGGCTCCATAGCAAGACCCAGTCTCAAAAAGGGGTAGGAGGAAGTATCTTAAACCCTCATGTTTTCTTCATCAGTGTAGAATTTAATTCATAACCCTATTCTGTGTTGTTTTGCAACAATTCCCCTTGCCCCGCCTTCAGTTTAAAGGGATTGTTTTCTTTTTACCTTCTTTAAAAATGTTTCTTACACCTCTCTTACTTGTTTTTAGACCAGGAAAATTATAAAGAGGAAGAATGGCTCATGGATTTTCATCTTTTATTTTGTCATTGGTAATAGAAAGAGAGACCCTTCCCCCAAGCCTTGGCATTATGAAGACATCAGGCAGTCTCTTCTGCAGGTGCCCTACTTGTCCCATGCTGTGCCTGTCACATGGCTGGGGACCTGTGGAGAGGACAAGGTCTCAGGTGCATCTGTTCTGCATGGAGCTTTGCTCTGCAGAGAGTAGACTGCACTTTCCCAGGACAACATCCTTGGAAGCACTCTGAAAGTCCATGTAGAACAAAGCTAGAAGTTCAGCGATACAATAAAAAAATGAGTAACTTAGGTAAAGCTCTCTTTTTTCCAGCACTTTTTGGAGAGCACTTTAAAATGAAGTTTAGCTACCTAAACTCTTAAGTAATTAAACTCAAAAAATGTTATGCTTGACCTGAAAAAACAGTTTTGTGGGGCTGGTGCCATCTGCCTTGCTCCCTCTGAAGAGGCAGGTTTTTCTGTATCTTGTCATTAGCAATGCAGCTGTGTCAATCCCATCCCAAGGAACAGAGTAGTGGTGTGACCTTTACATGGATGTTGCAAAGCCCACAATGGAAGAGTATGTCAGAAGATCCCCTTGTTGTAAGAAAGATCAAAATGTGATGGGCTTCCAGCCCTGTCAGTGTGTCAGCTTCTGAGGCTAAAGGAAGGCCTTGATTGGGATTGAGATCCCCAAATGGTAGGCTTCTTTATTTATTTATTTATTTATTTTTCTCCCAAATCCATTTTAAAATGGTAGGCTTCTGGACTTCCTTCCTGGCAATGATGAGAATGCCATTGGTCCTCCCAGGTAGTCCTTTCTGCCTCTAATCTTTATGTAAATTTTAAAACAAGATTGCAGACAGCTCTGTTTGGCTTGTTATTTTTTTCTCTTTTAGCATAAAGTTGGATTTTAATATTGTTGGACTGGGAGTACAGCTCAGTGGCACATCGCCTGCCTGGCAAGCGTGAGGTCCTGAGTTCAGTTCCTGGTTACTCCCCCCACACCCCCACCCCACCAAAAAAAAAAAAAGAACTAAAATATTGTTAGTTGGGCCCCTTACTTTTTTTTTTTTTTTTTTTTTAACATTTGTGTGAACAGTTTAATCATGTAGGGTTTGCAGCCCTAGTTTTGAGGCAGCCTGATGATAGGGATATGCAAATTAAGTGGAGCAACCTGGGCATTTCTTAAGAGCTAGTATGCATGGGTAAGGACTTAGCATTTAGTTCGAATGTTCATTTCTCTCTGGAGTCATTTCTGCCAGAGAATGGTTCCAGTGGCTCCCTTTTTTCTAACCACTATAAATAGTATTTTTACCTTTGTTCTAATGGAAGTATTTACTTTCCTCTTTTTGTAGATGCCATTTGTCTAGCTAGATTAATTGTGAACAGTTCACAGTTAGAAAAATGTGGCTGTGTCCTTTCATTTTTAGAGCTATATTCTGAAAAACACAGGACAGAGAACATGACCCATATATCCATCACCGAGAAATGACAGTCATAAATACTTTGTAACTTGCTTTGAATCTTTTTTAAATAAAAAAATATAATTTACCAACAGTGATGATGTCCCCATTGTTTTCCCCTCCCCTGCTCCCATTATCACAGTTCCTCATGTATATTCTTCCCATCTGTTTATGCTTTTATCTATTTACATATCCACAAACAAGATCAGATACTGTTCTGTTTTTTCAGTTTTCCTAAACGGTGTCATGGTATGTACCTTTCTGCAACTTGCTTTTTTTGGTTCCACATTGTGATGTGTTATATTAACCTCTAGATCCATGAGGATCTACCTTTTCATACCTTTTGTCAAAGTACTGTAGTGTTTTTATGAATGTGCCATACTACTTTGAGTCACGCCATATCATTTTGAATTACTCGTCCTCTTACTGATGGATATGTAGGTTGTTGATAGGATTTTGTCATTTTGGACAGTGCTGCTTTGAGGACTTGTTTCCTTACACATGTGTGACAGGTTTTCTAGGCCAGTGGTTCTCAAAGCAGTCCTCAGGTGGGCAATGCTGCAGTCCTTAGGAGCTTGGTGGAAGCTTCTTAGGCCCCAGCCCACCTCCTTCCTAATCAGACCACTGCTGAAGTATGCAGGCTCTATTTCCACGTGGTTCTGATGTGCACTCAAGTTTTGAGAGTTGCTGCATTGAGATTGCCTGTGCTGAACCTTTTTTTTTTTAAGTTTTAAAGAGAATGCACCCCATATGCACAAAAAATTTTTAATTTTTTCTTTTTAATGAATTGACTTCCTACCCCTCCCCCATGTTTGTGTTCTGCTGTTTGGTCATCCCACCTCTGAAGTACCGCTTGGTTTTCCTTTTTCCCTTCCAGGCGTTTCAGTTGGGCCCCACGGAAGCCTCTTACTACTGGGTGTACTGGGTTCCAACTCAATATGTGGATGCAATCAAAGACACTGTGCTGGGCAAATGGCAGTATTTTTGAAAGCACTTTCACCTCTGGCCCAGGAGACTGACCCAAAGTGAAGGACATTGCGGGAGAGGCCTGCAGCATCCTGGATTTCAGAGTTCTGGAACTTTGTTCACAAAAACAATCTCTATTCAGTCTGAGGCGATGTGGTGACTGAAGCCAGAGGTGATGTACTTTCACCATTAGCTTAATTTTAACTTAAAATCACCAGTTCCCTTTCTTGCAGTCAGCTTCATACCATTTTTAAGTTAGTACCGTGGAAATGAATAAATCTGAATTCCGAACATGTTGTGTGGAATACTCTACAGTCTGTTTGAGAGTAGATCTGCCAATTAATGTTGAGAACGGAATCATCAAAAGCTTTGTTTTTTGCTTTTAAAATGATTTCAACCGAAATATTTTCATAAATCTTTGGTTGCAAACATTTGGACTGCGTTGTGCTAAGTTGGAGTGGTTTTTTTCTTTCTTGATGTAAAATTGTATGCAAAATGAGGGTTTTAGTAAGCCATATTTTCTTGTCCATTGATTCAGATTTAATTCTCTCCCTTTTTAATTTTCTCGTTTCCCCTAGGTTTGAGTTTTATTTTAAAAACCCAAAGATATCAGTTCCTCTTTTGGTACCTCATCCACGCCTCCTTTCCTGGGCTCCCTTCCACCGTGCTGCTGCTGCTTGGGAATGCACGGGGGAGAGGAAGAGCTGTGAGGTCTTGGTCAGGGAGCTCTTACCTTGCCGTGGTGTTTGTGGAGCAGCAGAGAATCTCACAAGTGACTCCTGTCTACGTGTCTTGCCCTTTGGACCCTAGCTTCTGAGGAGTTCCATTACTGGTTTGGTGGCCATCGGCAGCCCTCACTAAGCATGGCTTCAAGAGCCAGGCTGCTCCAAAGCCCCAGCTCTAAGGAAGAGCCAGGTAGAAGATAATTGTTACAGCCATATAATCCTAGATGTAGAGACCTCTTTTCTTTGAAAGTTTTCAAGAAGTTCTTAAGCAGTCCAATGATTATTTCAATTCTGCTTCTCCATTTGGTCCTTCCGCTCATGCATTAAGTTTAAGTGTCCTTTATCCCAGGTTCAGAGGTGCTGCCTTTGTCAGTAAAAAGACATCTGATCTAGTAGGTTGGCCAATGGCATTTGAACAAAAGAAGTGGGATAAATTGCTTTCATGATAAGCTCATCTTCTGGTTTTGGCCCTTGTGTTCTTTGTACATGTGAACTTCTGCCGTCTCCTTATGACTTAATTGACTCTGAAATAAGGGACAGTCTCTTAGTGGATGATACCCTTTGTGCTGTTTGCTGTTTCTCTGCTGCTGTCTTTGCAATTCTCCTCTCAGTGGTTGCAGGCTCTTATAGTAAGGTTTGGCAAGAAATCTTCCCACCTTGACACTTTGGATTCTAAGCTGTTACCCCTCTCATTCTGTGAAACGTATTAGCATGTTTTTACCTAAGATGACTATTCCCTGTGAGCCAGTTAATGACAATATTCTATGCCCTTCCCTTCTAAGCTGTAGTTCAGGAATCCAGTCCATATAGACAGACTCTTGCTTTTTGTGGTGTAGTCAATGCCAAGTTATGCATCTGGGCAAGAAAATCTACTCTTTGCTTTTTGGGGGGCATGAGTATGTAAATGAAGTACAGCATCCAAGAAACTGTTTTCATCTCTTAAAAAAAAAGAGCGGTCATTGTGCTTTTTTGTTCTTGATGACCTGCAGTTCTTGGGGAAAAGAGTGTATCTTGGCTACTTATCCCAGCCTCCTGTGGTTGACAGGTCTACAGAGGAACTGATCAGACAGCAACTGAATTTTGCCCTTTTTGTTTGCCAGTGTTCTTGTCCTAAAGACTTGTCTAGCAGTGCCAACACCCACTTTTGGTCTCTAAAAGCTGGTGTTTCTGTCCCTAGATTAGCTCTGAAGCCCCTCTCGTCAGCCTCACTTGCTCCCTGTGTGGCTCCTACCACCCTCTGCTCTCCCTTCCTCTTAGTGAGTGTGTGTACCATCCTTTCCCTGCTGCCCAAGGGCCAAACTGCTTGTCACTCAGGCTGGTGTCATTGCAAGAGGACCAAAGCCTGTGTGAGCCTTTTTAATTTTCAGTAAAATGGTGCTTTTTTCCTTACTTCAATATACTATATATAAATAATAATGTAAATGTCATCTTTTCGTATGGAGCTGTTTGAATATTGCTTTAAAGAGCTCATTGAATCTGCTGTCCCAGTCTTGAGCTCTGGCTCCTGACTCTGGCCACATGGAAGGCCTTGCTGGAAGCTCTTGGGACAGCAGAAGCACACAGCACCAGAAGCCCATGGCAGAAATGTTCTAAGAGCCATGTCTGGATCACAGTAGTCACAGCAGTATTCACTATTTTGTCATTACATCCTGTGGGCAGTCAGTCTCTTTATATATTTCTTACTGTTTGGAGTTTACTGACTAAATCTGTGTAAGCAAATTGAAATACTCTTCCCTTTAGGTAGCATCATAGGGTTTATTTTTTTCCTCAGGATTATTTCTGTACAGTTCTGTCACTGTCTGTGAAAAGGGAACCAGAACTTCCCCTACCTGTGACAGGGGGCATGCAGGGAGATAAAGGAAGAGCTGCCTCCCCCATAGGGCCTCTCGACAGGCAGTGTTACCAGAAGTGAGGAATGGAAGTAACTTGCCCACGCTGAGGTTAGCCTGGGTATTATTTCTCCAGAGCCGCCTCATGATGGGCTTCTTTCCCATCTACAGTTAGTACTGGTGATCCTCCTGCAGGGATTCACTCACAGACATCTTTCCCTTATTTCCTTCCCTGAGGTGACTTGGCAGAATAATGTGACAACATAATTAATCCCTGCTGAGCCAGGTCCTCTCAGCACCCTTTTCATGAGTCAGGTCAGAGAATTTAGGTTTGTGAGTTGCTGGAACTCTTTGGTATGAAGTATTTTAATCCATGATGGGCCTTTTGCAAATAGTGTCTGCTCTTTTTAAATGAAGTTTAAGTGAGCTAAGGATGCACTTTCTTATAATCTTGTGGACAGAATAGGGGCCCAAATGAGACCCTCAACAGGCTTCTTAGTTGCTGCTTTACCTTATAAGGGCCAAAGAGATTAACTTTGCCACTCCTCAGAGAAGTTGCCATATTTCACCCAGAAGGGACTTGTTTTCCTCATATCATTTAACCATGTGCCTGGAGGAGCTGTGTGTGCTCTTGCATCTGGCCCACCCTTTCTCTGCCAGGAACTGAGAAAGGTAAGAGGATAGATTCAGTGTGCCAGGAGGCAGGCCATGCAAGGGCAGGCTTGTTTCCCACACATTTGCTGAGGGAGACCTTTCTCCTGCTCCTTGCTTCTGTTCATGCCTGATGTCTTGGAAAAGGATAGTCCCTTTTTGTCTTAAGGCAAAGTAATCTGCAGTTAGGATGGCATCTGTTTCCTTTGTAATAGGGTCTAGCAGCCTATCTGAAGTATTGGGTGGTCAGGAGCCCTATGACATGCAGAACATCTGGTAGATCTACCTGCCAGGCTGGGTGGTTTTACTGCTTTCTAACTTTCTAAGAACCTTTTTTTTCCTAAAGATTCTGCAGTTATTTGACAAATATATGTAAGTATCATGTTTCCTTGTGGTGTATGCTCTGTTCTGGTTTGTTTTTAAATCAAATCGCCTGTTTGGGAGGAGAAGAACGTATTAGTCTATTAGATTTGCGCTGCTGGATTTTTTTTAAAAGTGTAACCTTGACTAGCTGTCTTTATTGTTCATTCTGTAAGATTAGTCTATCAATTAAAGTTTGATAATTAATTGCGTCTCTTTTCCTTCTGTTTCTTCATGCGTCTCATTCATGCTGGGAAGTGACCAATATTTGCAACTGTGTCCAAAGCCATCTTTTGCCAGCTTTTTTTTTTTTTTGTATCAGGAATCGAACTCATAAACTCAGAGTTGTCAGGCAGGCACTGTGGTGCCAAGCTATATCCCTAGCCCCGCAGCTTTGGTTTTTTATTTGGCTTTAATTATATTTGATTTTGTGCTCTATGAAACAGTTGATAAAAAGATTTTAGTTACTCTAGATGGCAAAATGATCACCTTGCAGTTAGCCACTCTCTGCCAGGACAGCTCTCTTCTGTGTCCTCTGGCCTCCACATGTCGGAGAGGAAGCTGCCTCCCTGCCCTTCCTCCTCATGTATTCACTGACCTTTTAGCTTTCAAGGACATGTTTAATAAAACATGGGAATGGAGCTCCAGCTACATGCTACAAAAACCTAGGTGGAGGGAGGGAGATTTTTACCAAAAATAGGAAAAGAATGGAATCTTTGGTGACTGAAACAGTTTGTCCAAACTGGTTTAGACCCAGGACCACTTCCATTAGAATCTTCCTCTTCATTTCCATATTTTTTAAATGTTCCTGAAGGTTCTAGTCTCGTTTCCCCATCCTGGCAGGGGGAGAGGTGGCTCTTTTTCCCGTTTTTCTATAACATGATCTTGAAGCAACACTGCTACCCTCTCCAGGCTCTGGCTGCTACATGGGAAAGGACGGGGTGGATTATGCCATGTGGTATACATCTGATGCCGCGTAGAGAACCTTCTGTCTGTTCAGAGGATACTTCTGGATTTTATCCCAATTCTGAGCCGTTCTTTCAGGCAATGTAAAACCAACAGGATATTTGCATCACCTCAGATGGAGAATGAGATAAACTCCAATATGAATGTGTTACCATACTGTTGGTAGATGTCTGATACTTTCTGTGCTTTGGGAACAATCTGTTTTACACTGGAGATCCATCAGCCAGATGAGTCATTAGGGCAAGAGGCCAGTTTCCCCACCCTTGTGTGAGAGTTCTGTTCAAGGTAGTCAGGCAAGAGGAATGAGATGCTTCCTATCCAGGAGACCACTGCCCACATGCTTGGCTGCTTGCAGCTGGGAATTCTGCTCCCTCAGGCTTTTCCTACCTTTTCAAACTGTTTTTGGCTTTGTGTAGTTTACCAGGGCTACTTTTTTCTGAGGCTTTGTTAGCTTGCTTTTTCTCTTGTCTGTTTCTACTGTCTACCCTTTTACAACTCTGAATTTCAAGTTTCTTGCTTCTATTTTTACCCTCTTTCCCCTTAAACAAAACTTTCATTTTCCCCTTGTTTGGAAACTTTCAAACCTACAGAAAGCTGAAATACACTGTTAATATTTTTAACATGTTTATGCCTTCCACATAGGTTTACTAGTTGTTAAAATGTTAGCCATCTTTGCTTTCTTCTAGGCAGACTTTTTCTGAAACATCTGACAAATACAGAGTGTGAACCTTCACTATCTGGTACCAGGAATCAGATATTTTAGCATGCACCTCCCAAGAATAAGGATGTTTTACCACAGTACCACTGTCTCAGCTAAGAAAACTAGTATTGTCATATCATCTAATAAATAAATCAAAATGTATTTGTTTTCTAATTAATGATCCTACGTAAAATCCTTATCTAGTCTTACATATTTAAAATACCCTTTTAACTTTTACTAGTCTTGGCTTTTTTCTCTCACTTTAAAAGTAATTCAGCTGGGGATTTAGCTCAGTGGCGTAAGTGCCTGCCTGGCAAATGCGAGGTTGTGTGTTTGATCCCCAGTACCAAAAAAAATACATACATATATGTATATACACACACACGTAATTTACTCGTGTGTGTGTGTGTGTGTGTGTGTGTGTGTACACATATACATACCCCAAAACAGGATTGAACCCAGGATCCCATACATGCTAGATAGGCACATGTGTAGTGCCTCAGCCATCTCCCAACTTTTCCCCTGTTTATTTGTAATTTTTTCATTTGTGACCCGTCTTCTCATCTCGTAAGTTGTCCTGCCTGTCTGTTTCTTATGGTGAGGGGAGCAGTGGTCCTGAGAAGGCCTGTCAGGGAGCTAGTCCCTCCAAAGAGCAGTTTTCTTATTCAGTGTTCAATATCGCTCTGTTCCCACATCCAGGTCCAAGACTTAACTCCATGGTTCACGATGAAGCCGTATCATGGTTTTTGGTGACAAACTGAGTTCATGTGACTTAAGCAAAGGAATTTGGCTCTTACTACTGGAAAATCCTGAGTGTCAGACTCAGTCTAGTAGAGGTGTGCGGATCAGGCTGTTGTGTACCCTGGCCATCTAACTCCTGGCTCCGTTTTGCTGTTGACAGAGCCTACCAGACTAGCAGTCCCACAGGAAAGAACTTTTTCTCCCCAAGTCCCAGATGAGGCTTTTACTGGCCTGTTAGTCCTGTCTCCACAAACATTTGAACATAACCTGCGTTCATTGTAAGCCAGGCGTTTTCAGGTGAATACTCAAACTCACAGTCTTGCCTCAGCCTAAGTGCTGGGATTACAGACTTACATTACTTATAATTTAGAAAACAGTAACAAAAATAAACCCTTGTATTTGTCATAACTCAGTAATGATCATTAGCATTTTGGTAAAGAGGTTAGGTACAGTGGTGTATGCCAGTAATCCCAACACTGTGAAGGCTGAAGTAGAGGATCACTATGAGTTCAAGGCCAGCCTGAACTATTCGAAGAACCTGTGTCAAAAAATAAAAAATACCCTCCTCTGCCTTTCTTTTTGGCTATTGGTGCTAGAAATTCAAGTATACATCAGTTAACCAGTTAGCAGCTTTTTTTTCCCTGAAACATTTGAAAGCAGTGACATGTTTCATTTCTGAATATTAAGTATACATCTCCTGAGAATAAGCTTATCTCTCATCTTCAATGTAGAACAATTATGTTGCTGTTCTTGTGACATAAAAGTCCAGGCTTGCTAAAACTGTCTCACCTTCTGGATCTGTTCCCTCATGGTCAGGATAGCTTACATGATTTTGGCAATACTTCATTTCTGACATGTCCTTCTCACTGCATCACAGCAGGTGCAGGACAGAGTGGTTCTTGCATGATGTGATGCTGTCACAAAAATTCCCTTACTAAAGAGTGAGTTCCTTGATATTAGATGTGTACTATTCCACCTTGTATACTCAAGAGCTGGCAATGTTGGACACGTGGTAGACACTCCGGTTTTGAGTGAATATACTTGCTATTTTGGCAGCAGAGAAGACTGGAGTGATGGAGCTAGAGGTACAGGAAAATGGCTAGAGTCACTCTCATAAAGGGAATGGCCTGTTATAGACACACAGACCTCAGAAGCTACTAGAGATTACTTGTATACAACTGCTTTCATCTTGAGAATGCTACATTTGGCCAGTTTGCTGCCCACCTTGAATGTCATAGGAGTCTCCAAGAACATGCCAGTGGGTTCTCAGAGCAGAGTCCTTGCTGTCTGATGTCCATGTACTCATGCAGATTATATTACCAATGAATTATCTGTAGTATGTGGGATCCAGTAAATATTTTTCCTCATCTGGCTTCTTCACAGTGCTTATTAAGCACCAATGATGCAATAGGAAACATAAAGAACGGAATAATATATGATAGGCCAGGAGAGATTTGAGGATAACAGAGAAGGAACCAGCCCCCCGGCACCTCCGACAGCTACAGAGACATGTGAGTGGACCGTGCCACTGTAGGTGTATCTTTGGATTAGTAAGGCAGTCACTACTGGCAGTACTGCTAGACTTAGTGATCTTTGGCAGAAACAAGACATGTTTTTTGGCAAAATGTTCTACTACCTTGGGATTTTAAATTGATAGAACAAATTGGAGAAATAGCACTACAGTACCCCAAATGTTAAACGAGGGTACATTTCAATCAAAGGAATCTCATACAGCCTGTTTGGTTTCCTAGTGTGTCACTGATGCCCAACAAGCACTCAGCCTACTGGGCATGGTGTGCACACCTGTAATCCCAGCAATTGGGAGGCTGAGGCAGGAGGATCACTGAGTTCAAGGCCAATTTGAACCACACATCAAGACCCTGTCTTAAAAAAAATAAATAAATGCAGTCCTCAATGTAAATGACAACACTCCTTAAGTTCTTTTAGAGTTTGTTTTGAGACAAGGTCTCACTATACAGTTTGGGCTGACCTTGAGCTCACTGTGTAGCCCATGTTGGTCTCAAACTCACAATGATCCTCCTGCCTCAGCCTCCCAAGTGCAGGGATTACAGGCATGTGTCACCACGCCCAGCTTGCTCTGTTAGTTTTTCAGGGAATCTAGTTAAATATTAAGGGAAAAAAGGGATAGTATACCCATGAATGTCTTCTATGACCAAAAAGAAGAGAATAAACGTAACAGGCTAGGAATAACTAGAGGTGACAGAGAAGGAACCAACCCCATTGGTACCTCAGGAAGGGAAGTGGTTGTGTGAATGAACCCAATCCCAGGGCTGACTCCTGCCTTTCTACCATCTCATCCCTCTGGCAGAGAGTTCTGTCCACTGAAGGTGCCTTACTTCAGCTGCTCAGCCTCACTGATCCTACCTATATCTAGACTTTGTGCAGGGAATTGAACTCAGTACCTCATGCTTGCCAAGAAGGTGCTATGCCATTGACTTATATCCCGATACTACCTACCACAGGCCCTTAGTTCCCTTCTCCTACAAACTACAAATTTTAGTAAAAGGAGAGCAATCATTTTATAACATGACTCAAGCTAAGTTTTATCAAAACCTAGGGAAAATATGTATGTTACCTACATTAACCCCAAGGAGCTAACACAGTCCTACAAGAGGCAGAATCGATACTGATGTGTGACACAATGCCAAGATGACCTGAAAGAAAAGAGAGCCTCCCATGTTCCAAAACTATTAAATTCTATTAATATAGGCCAGGTGTGGTAGCATGCCTGTAATTGCAGGACTTGAAAGGCAGGAGGATCACCACGAGTTTGAGGTCAGCCAGAACTACATAATGAGACCCTATCTCAAACTCGCCCATTAAAAAAGGGAAAGAGATCATTAGGTAAGAGATGAAACATCTAGTTTCAGATACTACTATCAACCAGTAACAGCTGATAATCTAATGGCTTATGGAATAAAAAGTTCTTTTATCATGAATACATTCATTCCTTATACTGAAAGCAGGGAAAGAAACTTATTTCAAGTATGCTGCCTGAAAAGTTACATGAATGAATATTAGACAATCAGATAATTTTATTTTTCAGATACATTTTTGAAATATTAACCAGTGTCAGTATAGAAAGGCACTTTATAACTACTGAAGAAGAATGAGAAAAAATGTTGGTTTTAATGATTTATTTTCAAAGGGCAAAAACAAGACAACTTAAATATAAGTCTGACAGTTGCTTTGATGATGACAAAATGCACTCACTTCCAAGCGCCAGTATCACTGGAGTCTTCTGGGAGGAAAACGAGCCTGACAACAACAAAATAGGTTCAGTGTTTGTTTTTGCTGTACAGTTAGTGACCTTTAAGTGACATCTTTTTAAGAGGTTAGGTCCAGTGTAACTACATATATAGATACTACACAGTATTTTAATTTAAGAAGTTTTATCATTTTGTTATTCTGGAGCCTGAGTAATAGTTAATGTCTATTGAGAGGCTTCTTTATATCAGGCAGTACACATACACTATTTAATTTTAGCTTCAAAAAAAAAGCCCCAGCTAAGCCCTATTATTACTGCCATCTTATAGGTGAAGAAATTTTAAAAAGCTAAGCAGTCTGCCAAGATCACCAGGCACACAGCAGAGGCGAGGACCAATTTGGGTCTCTGACTCCAGGGGCCATTCTCTTACCCCTGAGGCTACCTGCCTCAGGAGAAGCCAGGCATCTCAACTTCCTGGACAGGGGGCCAGACTTAACAAGGAAAGGTCTGTTTTCTTGTGTTATCTTGTTTAGTATTTTGTGTCAGACTCTACCTTTAAGAAGGGCTAGTATCAAGGGAATCCCTGCCCAGAAATGACTCCTTTTGGGCCCACGTAAGAATAAAAACCATCACTAGCGGCTGGGGATTTAGCTCAGCGGCATAAGCATCTGCCTTGCAATCAGGCAGTCGTGAGTTCGATCCCCAGTACCAATAAAAAGGAAAATGGCCCAAAAAAACAAAAACAAAAAAATCATTAACGTGATACCCTTCAAGTGGCAGATACAGTTAAGTATAGGCAGCCTATGTTTTATAATTAGTGAAAATCTCTGTCAAGCATTCCTATTTTCTTAACTTTTGATTTATTGAATAGACAGATTAATTCTATAGAACACTTCTATAAGAGATTACTTACCTGGTATTTTATTCATATACATCCTTCTTATCTGCAATGTAATCCACAATTTCTTGTGGGCACATTAACTTTTCTGCATCTATATCAGGAATTTCAAACCCTAAAGGAAAAAAATTTACAGTGAGATGTGAGTATAGAAAAAGCAAGCCTTTCAGACTCATAACACCTAACACTTCCAGAACACCTACAACAGTACCCAGAAATTCGCAGCAATCTGAAATCCCATTTAGGTTGTGAGCCAGTGAGGGTTTTTTTTTTTTCATAGTTAAAACAACAGACAACTCCTTTTAAAGTATACAACTCTGTGACTGTAGTAACACCAATATCTAATCCCCGCAGAACATTTTCATCAACCCTAAAAAGAAACCAGGTGCCCAAGAGTAGCCACTATTCATGATGTCCAATCCTGGCCAGCACTGATCCTGTCTCTGTGGAGTTACCTTTCTCTCTCTCTCTTTCTCTCTCTCTCTCTTTCTCTCTCTCTCTGTGTGTGTGTGTGTGTGTGTGTGTGTGTTTTAATAGTAATGGGGATTGAACCCAGGACCTTCACACTGAATGTGTCCTTATTCCTTTTTATTTTTGTGCCAACATGCCTGGCTGGCTTTGCCACTTCCTGGAATCATGCAACGTGTGGTCTTTTGTATTGGCTTCTTTCACTTAGCAAGTTCTCAAGGTTCATCCATGTTGAAATATGTATTGTATTTTATTCCTTTTTATGAAAGCTGGATTTTGATAGTTACCATTTACTGAATTACTCTGGCTCAGTATTATTTACACATAAGTTTCCTTAATTCTCACAGCACTCAGAGTCTTGAGGTTTCTACCTCTTGTCACTCTCATTTTACAGCTGGAGACAGAGTTACTTGTTCAGGCTCATACATGTCTAAGCTCCAACCATACCTGGTACTCTTAATTACTAGACAAATGTCACAGCTTCATCTGTGAAGAATTTTTTTTTTTTTTTTTTTTTTTTGTACCAGGAATCAAACTCAGGACCTTGCACTTGCCAGACAGGCACTTATGTCACTGAGCTATATCCCCAGCCCCTACCTATGACAAATTTTACTTGTTTTTTGTAGGGGGAGGGTACCAGGGATCGAACTCATGACCTCATGCTTGCCAGGCAAGCACTTTTACCGCTGAGTTAAGTCCCCAGAAGCTATGCTCTGTAGAGTAGCACAGAAGTCCCTGGGTTCCCTATTCAAGCAGCCTACCTAGAAATAAACTATGTCGTTTTTATAAAAGTGTCATTTGCACAACAAACAGTGCCCAACAAAGACAGCTTAGAGTATGCAATTAAGGCACTAGGTGAGACCAAGGCCAGAGGGCTGTGTGTGTCCTCACAAAGCCTATTTCTAAGTACCTGATGGTGTCACAAGTAGGGCAATGTGAGGGTCTCAAGTGTCATCAGAGTTTGTCTAGGTGAGGCTTTTGCCCTTGTTTTTAGAACCCATCCTAGGAATCTAAGTACTGTACTTCTAGCATTTTCTGGTCACTCAACCTGCAGTTCCATAGTGGACTATCTGCTGAGCTGAACTGTCCCTAGTATTTACTTTCCTTTATAGTAGGTGAGGAAATGTGTATGTTGTGAGGAGTGGATGCTGTTTCTAATAATACCTGATTTCAATTCAGGTTCCCAGTATTTCTTTCAGTAAATCACCTTAATTAAGAACCGTAACATGCATATGTAAGATTAAGCCTGTGTATGTTACCAAATTCATCCTCCATGGCCATGATAATTTCCACTTGGTCCAAACTGTCTAAGCCCAGGTCTTTCATAAAATGCGAATTTACTGAGAGCTGCAAGAAAGGAACACCAAACAAAATTTAGTACATGAAACTACTTCCTTCCCAACATACAAGGGCTACTACATACAACACCCCTGAATCATCATATAGATTTGCTTTGCTTTGTTTTGTTTTGTTGCGAGACCCTTTCACTATGTAGTCTAGGCTGGCCTCGAACCATCAGCTCTTGAGTGCTGGGATTATAAGTGTGTGCCACCACAGCAGGTTAGATTTCTTTTTAAAATATAGAGGCTTTAACTACCATTATATATTTCACTGGTGTTGGCATATATACAGTGTGCTTTGTGTTAATTTGTTCAACTTTGTTAATGTAGAGCTAATGAACAAATTTATATTATATCAATTACTATGTCTTTTCTTTCCTTTTTTTGAGTTGGGGTCTTGCTACAGGCTGACCTTGAACTTGAACTTTTGCAGTGATTCTCCCGCCTCAGGTTCTGAGTGCTGGGATTAGCGATATGTGCCACCACATGCAGCACATCTTGTGCTCTTTAATCACTGTTACACATGACATCTAAGTAGTTTTCCTGCTGCACTATTGTGACCTGAAACTCCACATCTTAGATGTGGCATTTCTCTCCCTCAAAAGTAGCAGACTAAACCCAGATGTGGTGCAGGCCTATCATCCCATCACTCAGGAGGCTAAGGCAGAAGTCTGCCAGGTTCAAGGCCAACCTGGGCTCCACAGTGAGTTCAAGGCTAGCTTGGCATAGACAGTAAGTTCTTGTTTCTTAAAAAAAGCTGGGAGAAGGGGTGGATATAGCTCAGTAGCACAAATGCATGCCTGCCAAGCACAAGGTCATGAGTCCAATCAGTACACTGAGTCCAATGAGTACAAACAAACAACAAAAAAACGATAGCTAGTTATTATAGGGCTAGAGGTGTAGTTCAGTGGTAGAGTGCTTCCTTAGCACATCTGAAGTCCTGGGGTTATGCCTAGTGCTACAGAAAGACAGACAGAGAGATGAGGGAAGGAAGGAAGGAAAAGCAGACTATTGTAAGCTGCAGATTACAAAGGGATTATATCATCCTTCTTTTAATTTTGCCTTCAAGATCACCAGGAAGGGGCTGTGGATGCAGCTCAATGGTAGAGTGCCTACTCTTCATGTGCAGGGTTCTGGGTTCCATCCTCAATCCTGCCCCCTACCCAGCCATCACCAGGAGGCATTCTTTAAAATGTACATTAGAAAAGCAATTTTTTTTTTTTTTTTGCCAAGGACAGTGGCACAGGCCTGTAATCCCAGCTACTTGGCAAGCTGAGGCAAGAGGATCAATCACAAGTTTGAGACCATCATGGTCAACTTAGTGAGATCTTGTCTCAAAAAATCAACAGCTGGGGATATAGCTTAGTGGTAAAGCATGCCCCTGGGCTTAATGCCCATAACCACAAAAAACGCCAAACAAAAGTCCTACCTTATTTTTTATTTTGAGAGAGTCTCAGTAAATCCCCCAAGTGGGATTTAAACTGTCAATTTTCCTGCTTTGGCCCCCCTCAGTGCTTAGATTATTGGTGTGTACTACTGTACCCAGCTCAGATTCAATTATGTATTAAAGGCAGCTTTTTATTTGGAGACTGAATTACTCAGGCTTGCTTGGAACATTTGATCCTCCTGCCTCAGTCTCCCAAGCACCTGCAACTATAGGTGTGTGCTATCAGACCTGGTTTAAAGAAGGAAACTTTTTACACCTCAGTGTGATGGAGCATGTGTATAATCCCACCACTTGGTAGGCTGAGGTGGGAGGACTGATCCAACTGTGAGGTCAGCCTGGGCTACACAGCAAGTTTAAGGACAGCTTGTATTGCACAGCCTGTCTATTTTGAAAAAAAAAAGGAAACCATTTTTATGCACCACTATGATACAAATCCTAAAGAGGTTTTTTAAGTTAAAAAAGGCAGAACAACTGTTTATGGTATAATAGCACTTGCAGGTTTTGCTGCAAACCTGTTTTGTTGGGGATCAAATTCAGGCCTCTCAAATGGTAAAATGTGCATTTTACAACTGACTGATGCCCTCAGCCTACTTATGTATATCTTACGGGAGATAAATAACTGTGTGTGTGTGTGTGTGTGTGTGTGTGTGTGTGTGTGTGTGTGTGTGTGCGTGTGCGTGCGCGCGCACGCACACGGTGGTGCTTTGGTTTACAGACTTGATTCTTTCCACAATTCTGATCACAAACCAAGATGGATGAGAACCAACTAAAATTCAGTGGTTAGGTTCTTAAGATTCCCCTTATGGGGAAATTTAATTCAATTCTTGTCCAGTTTGCTTTGTGACTAGAACTGTAGAATTAATTTTGCAAAACAAGCTACCCCTGTGCTTCTTACACATTATCTCTGTAGAGATACACAAGAACCTGGTAACATTGGCAGTCTCTTAGAGGGGGAAATAGGTGGCTGGGAGCCAGGGAGACCTTTTACTGAATATGCTTTTTTGTCCTTTGAATTTCATACCATGTGATTAAAACTTGAGAGAAAAATTTAAACTACCAACAGTTACCTTTTCTGGGTCAATCTTGTCATAAAGTTTCAAGACATACAGAACCCGATCCTTGATTCCTTCTAATGTCAAAGGAGGTGCATCACTATACTGGCGGCAAAACTGTGGAATCCTCCCTGGAACCTAGGGCAAGGGCAGAAAAGAAACATTGTCATTGAACCCAAAATGCCTTTAACTAAATGCACCGGGCTAAGCTATCTTTTATGGAGTTTTTAGGGATATACAGAACACACATCATTGGACTCTAAATGTGGCCATTAGGATACACCAACTCACCAGGCTGGGTAGTCAGCCCTGGCAGTTCCACAGCATCAAAATGGACTTACTTTCCCCTCAGAGCCAGGACTGGCCCCACTGTCTTATGGGCTTGACATTCAGGCTTTGAATATTCATCCTACTGAGTGAGACTATAACTTTAGCTACTAAAATCATATACAGCCAGACATGTTAGTTCATGGTTGTAATCCCAGTACTTGGGAGGCCAAGGCAGGAGGATCCCTGTATTAGGAGGCCAGTCTGAACCATATAGTTAGACACTGTCTCAGTCAGTCAAGCAAGCCCATGGATAGAGTTGTCAGGGAACACTGAAAGGTAACTCAAACTGACAACCACAAGCGGCAATTACCTTATTTATCTAAATTGGCTTCAATGATGATTATGCTGATCTCAGCCTAGACAAATGAAGCCGTCCACCAACCCAGTCACCACATTCCAATCTAGTTCCCTTCCAGGTAGGCTTATTTTAGTGCCAACAGTTACATGATAAGCCACCTAGTCAGTACCATGATAGTAATATCTCAAGTGTGTCTCATACTGCTTGATACTCAAGTAGGTATTGGGTGGAGATCTGACTATATTTCTTCCTGAATGTGAGGTGAGCTCTTAACTCCACAAGGTAAGGGTAACAGATGGGGAGAGTAAAAAAGAACAAGAAAAAACATGCATCTGGCAGTTTTACTCACTATGGAATTCCTTAATCTAAACTGGTTTATGTTCTGAAGTTAACTTTTAAGTTCTCAGTTTGTAGTTTTTAGGGCATTTTCCCATTAAAAAAAGCTGACTTGTAGCTTAGGTCCCTGAGACTCAAAAAAGGCTGTGAAAAATACTGATAAAGAAATGAACCAAGCCAGTAAATATGTATCTCTGCATCATGAAATATTTACTTTTAAAATAAAATTTAGTATTAAAATCAGGCTCAATCAACAAATCAAAGAGATTAATTGAATTTTAGGGATGGTCTAGAATATTTCTAAGTACTTTCAAAGTAGTTTTTTAAGACAGTGTCTCACCATTTAAGTTCCTGGTCTCCTTTCCTTTCTGATTACTTCATGAGACTCTGATAGGGACACATCTCTATCTACTTATCAAAAATAACTAGAAGAATTTCTCAGACCATAAATAAAATGAACAAAGATGATAAACAGGAATTGTATTCATGCTCCCCCTATTAAAAAAATAAAGGAGAAGAAATTACTTAAGGGTAATGTCAAAACTTTAAAAGCTGATTTTATCTGTCTAGTTCACTGACTCTGTCACCTCTATTCTCCTATTAGGCCTTTCCAGTGAATTATTTTATCATATGCTACATTCCTTAGTTCTGTGAAATCTGATTATTAAAGTTTCTGTTTTTCTGTTTAAATAAAAAAAAAAAAAAAACCTTGAGAACTGGGCCATGGTGGTGCATGCCTGTAATCTCAGCACTCAGGCAGCGGAGGTAGGACTGCCATGAGTTGAGGCCAGCTTAGTTTACATAGTGAGACTCTGTGTCAAAAACAAATAAATAAATAAAAGGATGTAACAGATGCCACAAATAGTATGGAAAAAATGTTTAAAATGACATGAGACAGAATGAGCAGGAAATGGAGAAAAAAGTGAGGAGATAGCCAAGTAACAGTGTTCAGGCAGAAAGGGGCTGGCATAGTCAGGTATGGTGGTACATGCCTATAATCCCAGCTCTTGGGAGGCTGAGGCAGGAGAATCACTGCAAATATGAGGCCTACTTGGGCTACTGAGTGAGGTCAAGGCCAGCTGAACTACACAGTGAGTCCATCTCAAAAAATCAAAAATAAGTATTAAAAAATAATAAAAGAGCCTGGTGAGGGTATGCTGGTGTATGACTGACCACACAACCCACTAGGTGTCAGCGTTATCCCAAGCAGCCCTGGCAAGTGCTCAATGAGCACATGTTAGGTTAAGCAAGGCTCCAGCTAGTCTGAGCCAAGGTAGGATGAGCAGATGCCATGGGGCAGCTTGAGGAAGGAAAGTGCTGTCAGCAAGAAGTCTCTCACTCAGTAATTACACTGCTGCTGCTGGTATCTTCCTACTAGCTTTACTAGCTGTCTGGAGTTGGGCAAGTTACTTAATCTTTGCACACTTCAGTTTCTTTATCTGTAAAATGGGGTAAAGAACAGTACCACACTTAAGAGAATTATTGTGAGACATCAGTGAGATGAAATAAAGGGCTCCGAACACTGACATGTGCATAATTAAGTACAATTTAGCATTATATCATAGGACCATGATAATGACAGCTGGCCAGTGTGACCCTCTGCTTTGGTGAAGTCCCAGTATACTTGATTCTACGCCTTTTCTTTCAGTATCTTTATTGGTCCTGGCTTTCTGTTGTCTTTCTTAAACATTTTATATACATTCCTTAGCTTTCACAGTAACCCTGTGAGATGTATGATACTTCTTTCTACAGATATGGAAGCTGAGGCAGAAAACAGGTATGTATCCTATCACAGGTCTTTCACCATGACCTCTCAAGAGGGTCTTACTGCATCTCTCTGTTGGACCTCTACTGTTAAAAATCAGTAACACAAAACAATAGAGAATGAGCAAAAACACCCCTCCAGCAGCCAGCATGCACTATTTCTGTATTTGTTTTTCCCCAAGACCAACAACTTAACAATTACACATGACATCATTTGCCTCCCCCAGACATCAGAGAAGACACTGTTTGCAGGAAGAATAGCCTCTGGATTTTAACTCAACTTAGTCCCATCAGAATCTATGTTAGTCCACTGGGGTCCTTCTCTGCCTAGGGAAACACAGAGGATGGCTTGAAAGGTCAGCTCTACAATCTGTCTGCTGGACAGCTCTGCCCAGATATCTCAAAGCCAACTGTGTAGAAACAACCCACACCTGTCTCCAGAACTCTTCTTACTCTTCTATCCTTGCTACCTGCGGCTTTAGCTAGAAACCTCAGAGCCAATCTCTGACCTTTCTAGTTTCTTGACATCATGTTTACTTAGCACAAAGCCTGACTAATTGGGAAGAAAGATCTCTCATTCATACCTTCTACAAACCTTGCATATTGTTCACTTCTGTAACCTCAGCAAAGAACATCACAATCTTCAACAGGCGTATGGCTTGCTGTATAACTGTATCTCCATTATCTTTGAATGAACTTAGTGGAACTACTTTGAAATAGAAATAAAGTGGTTCCTCTGTCATACATGTAAACCAAGCAAAAGCTAGAAGATCATCAAGCACCTTGCTATTCAAAGCATGGTCCAAGGCCCACAAGCAGCAGATGTGAGGAAGCCCCTGCAAATGGAAACTGTAAGGCCCCTTCCCTGACCTACTGAATCAGAATCTGTTTTAGCTCAGTCGACCTGTATGGACAACCAAGTTTGAGAATCAGTGCTGTAAGAATAGGGACAATCACTTCACATTTTTTCCTAATGTTGAAATCAGTCTCAAGACCCAACATGGGGCTGGGGATTTAGCTCAGCCGCATAAGCGCCTGCCTTGCAAGTAGGCAGTCTGAGTTCAATCCCTGGTACTGATAAAAACGAAAAAGACAAAAAAAAAGACTCAACACTCAGCAACTCTGTCCTTTTAACCCCTAACTACTAGTGTCCCCTAACTACTGTCCTTTTAACCCTTAACCTTAAGGCTCATATTATGTGTTTGAGACAACAACGGGGCAGTATCCTCTGAATTATTAATCCATTGAATCTCAGTGAATCTCACCACTGGCTACCCAAAGAATCACTTGATTTTTAGATTGATTGATTTAGCCTGAGAATCTTCATTTTTTACTGTAGCAATGCAGTCATGATTGAAACCATCACGAAGCCCAGGAAATTGAAATTTAATCAACCCTACTTTCAGAGAACTGTTTTTGTTTTTTGTACTGGAGATTGAATTTAGGGCAGGCACGCTACTACTAAGCTGCACCTCTAACCTTTTTTGAGTCAAGATCTTACTAGCTTCAACCTTCAGGGTCATATGAGAACATAAAACACATAGCCAAGCTGGGGCTTCATCCCAGAGGAATAAATCAGAGGCAAGTGGAAGTAGAGTCAAGGGAATTGTTATCCTGGTGATGTGTACAGTGAGAGTTAAAAAATCACTGCCAAAAAAGGAGTACTGAGGGCCGAGCCAGTGCCAGTAGCATGGGGTTACAGCCTCATATAGGCTGCATCAGTAATAAAGGTACACACTACCCGTTTCCTATCTTTACTTCTAGAGGGCCTGAAATAGGTAAAAGGGGAAAAAAGCCGAAAGCCAAGAAAACTTTTTCGAGACGGTAAGTGGCTTCTTTGCACCTTACTAGTCTTCCCCTAGAAGTGATCACGGTATTTACCATTTTCAGTACAACTACGATAGTATTTTGACAGTCTACCATACAAATTAGACGCTCTAGCCGCGCTCTCACCTACATTTCACAACCACTTCACCAAGCAGAAATTAGTGTTCAATTCTGTCTGAGGCTCTGCAAAGTTACCAGGCTTGTCTAATAGCAATAGCTGTCAGCTGGCCCTCAAATAATTCTTCACCAAGTCACCTAGCCTCGCATCAAGGTTTGGTGAGCAAGCTAGCGGTCCCCCGTGTCTGCAGTTAATGCAGCCTCGCCCCGCCCCCGTTTCCACCCCCTTGCGACCGATCCTTGACCCCTGCCAAGCCCCGCCAAAGTCACCACGAGTCACCTGTGCGAAAGCCAAAGCCAGCTGCGCCGCCCCGAGCCTCGTCTGGGTTCGCGCGGCACACAAAGCGGTGCTGAGTGTACGGGCCAGGGCCAGCGTAGGGAGCCGGGACGGTGGCACCAAGGCCGAGGGCAGGCGGCGGACACAGACTGAAAGGACACGAGCCGCCATGGCTACGCCGACCCAGAATGCATGGCGCCGTAGCTGCGCCCAGGTTTCCGGTCCGGTAACGCGCAGGCGACGCACAGAGCGGTGCTGTCAGCAGCCGCCGGCGATGGCGGCCTCTGGCGTCTCCTGGAAGAACTGCGCTGTTGAGGGCGTGCAGGCCGGTCCAGGTTTAGCGGCGAAGGCTGCCTGACTACTAAGAGCCCAAACGACGTCTCTCCCTAAAGCAATAATCACTGATACAAGGAACTTATATTATTCCTTTTCTAAACGTTCTGAAAACATTTACTTATAAGTTTTGATGCCAAAATTCTTTTCATACATATTAAAATTTAACAGACTCAAGACAGTACCCAACCAGTATGTGAAAAGGATTGATTTAAATGTGTCACTAGGACTAATAGCTGGGCACAGTGGTGCAGGCCTGAGGTTCCACCAAGGCTGAAGCGGGAGGATCACTTGAACCCAGGAATTCCTGGCAAGCTTGGACAACATAGTGAGACCCCCTCTCAAAACAAAAACCCTACATACGTTTTACATTTGTATATATACATATATATAGTGTACATATAGTATATGTGTACATGTATATATGTATATAAAACTGGCTAATACGTGTAGAAAATATGATAAAATAATATATGTATTTTAATTCTTTTTTTTTTTTTCCTGGCATGAATCTTTTTCTGTCACTCTGAGCTGCATCCCCAGCCCTTTTTGAGACAAGGTCTTGCTGAGTTGCACAGGCTGGACACAAATTTGTGATCCTCCTGCCACCACTTCCTAGAGTGTTAGGATTATAGGACTGAGCTACCACCATCCACAGCTGTTTTGAAATTTGACAATGTATGGATAGTAAAGTGCTAGCATATTCAGGGTCCTGAGTTCATCCCCACCACTAGTGAGCAAACAAACGACAGTGAATGAATAATACAGCTAACAAAAATGGGGTAATGGTGATGTGAACATTTAAGTACACTAATTTGCACACATCAGCAAAATATTGGCTTTTCTTTTTTTCATGGTGCTGGGGATGAAACCAGATTTTCAGCGTACTAAGCAAGCTACAGTCCTAACAGGATGTTAATTTTTTTTAGGATGTTGATTTTTTTTAGGATGTTGATTTAATTTTTTTTTGTCTTTTTCTTTTTTTATTGGTACCGGGGATCGAATTCACGATTGCCTGCTTGCAAGGCAGGCCCTTATGCCGCTGAGCTAAATCCCCAGCCCCTAGGATGTTGATTTAAATTAAAACATTTAGAACAATAAATGCTGCCTGTATACACAGTTCAATTATGGCTTCAAGGTTAGTTTGTATTTTTTTTTTTGTTCCAGGGATTGAACTCATGACCTTGAGCTTGCCAGGCAGGTGTTTGTGCCACTGAGCTATGTTCCTGGCCTGTTTCTTTTTTTTTTTTTTTTCTGTACCAGGGATCAAACTCATGACCTCATGCTTGCCAGGCAGTTACACCGCTGAGGTGAACTCCCAGCCCTTGTTTGTCTTTTTGAGACAGGTCTTGCTGTATTGTCAAGGCTGACCTTGAACTCACCATGTGGCCCAGGCTGGCCTCCAACTCACAGCAATCCTTCTGCCTCAGCCTCCTGAGTGCAGGGATTATAGGCATGTGCCACCACACTTGGCCTGCTTTCAGTTTTTCACTTTTGTTAAATACAAGTGAAATAGAATCCGATGCATTTTTTTCTTTTTTGGTAGTATAGGAGTTGAAATCCAGGGCCTTGTGGATATTAAACAAGTGCTCAACAGCTGGACTACATTCCCAGCCTTTTGTCTAACTTTATTTTGAGACCAGGTCTTGCTAAAATGCCCGGATCGGGCTCAATCTTCTAATTCTCCTGCCTCAGCATCTCCAGATGCTGGGATTATAGGTTACAGATATGCACCACTACCCTAATCTGATGCTTTTAACTTAAAATAGAATGCATACAATGATCCCAGTGTTGTAGAGTATTTCTCTTTATGAATTCATTTAAAAATTTAATATCTGAAGCAAGCTTGATAGCACATGTTTCTTACCTCATGTATTGAGGAGGCTAAGGTAGAATTGTGGTTTTTTTGTTGTTTTAAAAATTTTTTTTTGTTTGTCCTGGGGATCAAACTCACAACCTCATGCCTGCCAGGCAGGCACTCATACTACTGAGCTGAATCCCCTGTTCTGTTTTAAAATTCTTAAAATTTTTTTATTAGTACACATTTGCAATGCCTAATGATTACATTCATGGTGTGGATACCAATACATGTGCATAACCCATCTCAATGATTGTGTTTTTTTTTTAATTAGTAATACATGTTTGTGGTACATGATGACTGCATTCTTTATGGGGAATTGGTCCATATATGTAACACATCCTAATTTCCTTAATCCCTTTCATTCTTTCCCGCTCCATCTCCTTCTATATCATTGTCCTTGTCCCATATGCAAAGACCTATCTTGCCATTTTCTATTATCTATCTTTTCTTTAACTCTTTAATTATATGTTGAGTTTTTCATATAAAAAACTATGCAATATTTAAGCTCGTGTGTCTGATTTATTTCACTTAATATTATGGTCTTTAGGTGCATTCATTTTCGTACAAATGACACAAGTTTATCCTCCTTTATGGCAGAGTAGTATTCCACATTTCCTTTATCCATCCATCTGTTGATTGGCATACAGGCTTGGTTCTAAGATACAACTATTTTAAATTAGGCTGCAGTAAATATGGGTATATATGTTCCACTGTAATATGATATCTTTAACTTTTTTGGGAAAATATCTAGAAGGAGAATACCTGGGTCAAATGAGATTTCTTGTTTTAGATTTCTGAAGCATTTCCATAGTGGTTGTACTAGTTTACATTCACACCAACAATGTAGAAGGGTTCCTTATTCCCAAGTCCCCACAGCCTGGTCAGCATTTGTGTATTATCCTGTTTCTTTTATTCTTTCTTTCTTTTTTTTTGGTCTTTTTCATTTTTATTGGTACCAGGGATTGAACTCACGACTGCCTGCTTGCAAGGCAGGCGCTTATGCTGCTGAGCTAAATCCCCAGACCCTAAATCCTGTTTCTTGATATTAACTATTTTTTTGAAGTAAGATGCCTTCACTGATGTCTCAGGAGTTACTTTTGAATTTTTCTTTGGGTTTTTTATTTTCTTTTTTTGTTTTTTGAGGCAGGATTTTGCTTTGCAGTTCAGGCTGGGCTTGATTTCATGCTATTTTTATCACTGTAACTTTGTAGTATGACTTCAAGTCCAGGAGTGTGATAAGTCCTGCCTTGTTCTTGTTGCCCAGGGTTGCTTTTGTTATTCTAGGTTTTTTCAGGTTCCATATGAATTTTAGAATTGTTATGTTTTCTCTATTTCTGTGAAAAATGTTACTAGGGCTGGGGATTTAGCTCAGCGGCATAAGCACCTACCTTGCAAGCACGTGGTCCTGAGTTTGATCCTTGGTACCAATAAAAAAAAAAAAAGAAAAATGTTACTGGTTATCTTGATAGGGATTACATTAAATCTATATATCAGTTTTGTAAGTATTGCCATTTTGACTATTTTGGTTGTTTATCCAGGAACAAGGATAGCTTTCCATTTTCTGATGGTTTCTGTTTTTTGTTTTTTTGGGGGTTTTTTTGATACCAGGGATTGAACTCATAACCACAAGCTTGCCAGGTAGGCACTTATGCCACTGAACTAAATCTCCAGCCCTGTCCTCCTCTATTTTGTTTATCAGAGTACTATAGCTTTCTTTGTAGATGTCTTTCTTTCTTTTTTTTTTTTTTTTTTTTGTTGTCTTTTTAGGGTTTCACTATGTAGTTCAGGCTGAGCTCACTTTGTAGCCCAGGCTGGTCTTAAACTTACACTGATCCTCCTGCCTCACCCCTATAGAGGTTTTTCACTTCCTTGGTTTGGTTAATTCCTATTTAATTTTTCTTAATGCAATTGTGAAAAATACAGTTTTCTTAATTTCTTTCTCACTGAGTGCATTATTGGGATAGAGCAACACCACTGATTTTTATGTGTTGATTTTGTATCCTGTTATGCTACTGAATTTGGTTACCAATTCTAGGAGTTTTTTTTTTGTTTGTTTGTTTGTTTTTGCAGACTCTTTTGGGTCTCCTATGTAGAGGATCATGTCATCTACAAATAATGATTTTTTTGTCTTTTTGAGACAGGGTCTCTCTATGCACTTCAGGCTGGCCTTGAGCTCACTTTGTAGCCCAGGCTGGCCTTGAACTTGCAACTATCCTCCTGCCTCAGCCTCCTGAATGCTGGGATTATAGGTGTGAGCCACCACACCCAGCTCAAATAATGGTATTTTGACTTGTTTCTTTCTTAAACATATACCTTTTATTTTTATCTCTTGTCTGACTGCTCTGGTTAATGTTTTGAGAACTACATTGAACAGGAATGATGATAGAAGACATCCTTGTGTTTTCCTTGATTTTAGAGGGAACATTTTTCTGCTTCTCCACATTTAATATGAAGTTGACTCTTCGTTTATCATAAAGGGCTTTTATTAGATTGAAGTAAGGTCCTGCATGAATGTATGTTGGATTTTGTCAAAGGCCTTTTCTGCATCAATTGAGATGATCATGTGATTTTTGTCCTTGCTTCTGTTTATGTGATGCATTACGTGTATTGATTTGCATATATTGAACAGTCCATGCATCATCAGGATGAATCCCTGGTCCTGATGATTTATTGCATTCTGTTTGCTAGTATTTTCTTGAGGATTTTTGAATCTGTGTTTGTTATAGAGATTGGCCTGTAGTTTTCTTTTTTGATTGGGTCATTGTTTGGTTTTGGAATCAGGGTAATTTTAGCTGTCAGGAATGACTTGGGGAGTGTTCTTTCCCTTTCATTAATGAGCTTGAAGAGTATTGGTGTTGAAATTCTTATAGATTTGGTAGTGAATGTATTGTGCCCTGGGATTTTCATAGTTAGTAGGTTTTTAAAAATTACTTCTTCAGTCTCTTTGTGTGGTATATTCATTCTACTAGAATAGCAATGTTGACTTCATTGTCTCTTTCTAAGATATCTTTG